GGTGTGGATGCCAATAGTGATGCAATACTGATAATGTGAAGTGCAGCACTCATAGCTTATTGTAAGGCGGGCAAGTATGATAACACTTAATCTAATATATGACTCATAGATGAACTAGAAATGAATGAGTGTGCGTAGAATGCTGTTCATACGGTGTCAAACTCGCAGGTTTTGAATGCGCAAAAAGTATTTAAAAGTGTTTTTACTTACTTAATAAATGAAAAGGCTGTTATCATCTTAAATTACGTTAAGTCACAATTAGCACTCTTGCCGTTCATTGTTCAGCTCGAGAAGTCGCAGTGGTTCTTTGCAGTGTATAGAAGTGAAGCCGAACGGCGTTCTCTGAGCGCTAACTTTTCCCTGAAGTTACTAATGACGAAGAATTGTACAACGGCTTTTCAGTTTCTACTTGAGATTATTTATTACATTCACTTCATTAATGAAGAAACTGAGAGCTGAATGCTAAGTTAAGATTGCCTCTGTAATAAATTGTGCAAAGTTTGTACCGCAGGTGCAGAAAAACTTATTTATGCTCAATTAGTTACGTCAACTTTTTTTGTTATGGGAAATGTAAAGTGGATTTATCAAGGCTCTTATTAAGTTTATTAAATTAAATGACTTATCAATATTCAGTAAGTTCTTAACGCTTACATTACTAAGCACTTAATTACATCCTAATACATTTTGACTTACATTGCTTAAGTGTTCGAAGTGTATGCTCAATATATTATACTATTGGATCGATTATAAGTCTGATTGACCAAAGAAAATTTTTGTTTCCAGCGCTGAAAACGCCGGACTTAGGCTATGGACACTGTATAATGCATTTTCCAACCTGCGCGATTAGCAAGAAAAGGGTGCGCGTGCGTCTGGTCTAGACTTGACCGCTGTTGATTGGACTTGCTTGCTCTATTTATGAAAATTTCAATTGAAATGATGCAACGGAAGTCAAGAATTTTCCCTTTTAATTCAAAGAGATGCCAGTACAAAATTAAATAATTTCAGAGTACTGAAGTCGGGCGTTCAAATTGAAGGCACAACAAACTGTAAAGATTTTCAATAAAACATTTTATTATTTCTGAAGAGTGAGTGCTTGCAGGGGATTTTCTTTCTCACCAGCAAGCAGGAGTGCCTGAAAATACAGGGTGAACCAGAATTAACTGACCCTTTTAATTTGTTAATAAATAAAAATCTAAGAACGTTATGAAGTTAAAACTTGTTTTATTTAAGAGAAGAACATTTTTATGGTAATATTGTATCCTAGTTTTTAGGATACAATAACTAACTAGGATACAATATTATATACAATATTTTAACTAATACATATTGTTTATACATAATAGATATTTTAACTAATACAATAATAAAATATTGCAATAGGATACAATATTTTAACTAGGATACAATATAACCATAAAAATGTTCTTCTTTTAAATAAAACAAGTTTCAACTTCATAACGTTGTTAGTTTTTTTATTTATTAACAAATTAAAAGGGTCAGTTAATTCTGGTTCACCCTGTACTAGTAAACGCTTGTTATAGTTCAAGATTCATTTATAATACACGTATTCAGTGTACATGACTGATGTTCCCTTACCGCTATTGTGTACCTTAATATTCCTGAGAGACGTGAGACGATAATATGAATAAAAATTGTTAAGGTGGATACAATATAAAAACTGAATTCATAAAACTACTGATTGCAAAAGCATTATTATTCCAGAAAATATACATTATTTCTTTACTAATCGTTTTTATCATCGTTGCCGTAAGATTGCCCTCACCTCAAGTACACATATTTGAGTGCTTGCAATTACAGACTGATGAAAATTATCCGATGGCCAAGAAATGGCATAAAATGAAGACGACATTGAAGCTACCATTGGTAGTGTGTAGAGGGCAAAGCAGTTGTGCAAATTCGGAAGCGTGTTGCACTGCAGTACTGATGGAGTCCCATTCCAAGACGCAGTGCTTTCTGCAGTCCCGCACTAAAACACTCCCTAATGGGACCATAAAAGCCACGCCGCACAGGGCCCACGTACACTTCCCATAATAGACTGTAACATTCACTGGAAATACTCGTCGATGATACTTTTTGATGATTGTCATATCCTGTAATAATGGCTGGAAATAATCGTCACTAGTACGTTGTGCGGGATACCATATATAGTTTGTAACGCTCACTAATATTACTCACTAGTTACCCTCAGCCTCACTAAAACCCTCACTCACTAAAATTACACAACTTACTCGTTATGCGGAATTCCATAGTCTTTAACTCTCACTGGAAATACTCGTCAATAATACGCTATGTGGAATACCATAGTCTGTAATACTCATTAGAAATACTCTGCGATAATACGTTATGTGGTATAAGATTGTCTGTCATTGGAAATACTCTGCGAAAATGCGTTATTTGTCTCGGCCTAGCGGAAAGATGCATTGCCGAGAGACAACCAGGGTACTAGGTTAATGTAGAGTGAATGGTTGTTTATAACTTTTGGAATTGTTACGAGATAAGATACGAACAAAGAGGTCGGTGATTGAATGTAGAAGGAAGAATGAATGTAAATCGACTATTGACCCATCGTCCTAATTATAAAGCAAGTACCTGGCTATATTTCGAGATGCCGCTCGACCCTAGTTTTTTTTTATTTCGCTTAGCGATATTTAGAAATTTATTAAACAAAAATTTTTTTGCTAAAATATTTATTGCTATTTTGTTATGAAATTACGACAGGATAAAATTGCTTCATCTTCAACTTTGCGATCGTGACAGATAGAGATCTCCTTCTTCGATCACGGACTTCAATCAAATCGTGTCCTGAAATTCACCTTTAATTGACTATTAAATGTGGCCAAATCGGGCGGCAATTTGAGGTGCTTATGTGGCAACGAGAGGTACTTATCTCTCTGAGGCCTCATCTTCTCACCAAATTGAGGGTTAGCTTAGGCTAATGCGCATAGCGTAGTAGTGCTTCCGCTGCGCTTTAAAGGAGGCATGTGTATTCTTCCGCCACCTGCCTAAACTTCCATGAGCGATGACCATCGTTCACTGGATGATCTCTGCCTCAGGGTTTGTGCATTGACTTTAAGTTGTTGAGTTCACCCTATCTGGTGGAAGATAATATTTTAGTAGCATTAGGAAAAACATTTACACTACTCAAGATGAGACCGCAACTACACAGACACCGCAAAAAGCTGTGAATGTTCTGCGATGTTAAGAATTGGCGACAGGCCTACGGCCTACTAAACGCCGAAACCGCTATTAAGATGATAAATCGAAAGTTGCAAAATGATTTTAGTTGCAGTTTCTTCTTGTGTCTCCGGGTTTACTCATATAGTGTAGAAATGAACATGAAATTTTAAAGTCAAATCAATGGCAGCTTCTGAGCTCATAACTTTCACCCGTGTTTGATTTAGTTAATGAGTTTATGAAAATTCATGCGTTACAGCCATTTATTCCATCAATACTTATGGAACATGACAATTTACTTGGTCAAAATCAATATTATGCTTGTAAACGGTCAAATGTCGAAGCATTTTCAAGCGGCGTAAGACAACGCGAGTGGGAAAATTTTTCGGCATGGAATAAAATCTAGTCCAAATGTTTGTCGCTTGCGAGAAAACCTGAAGCTTGCCATGTTTCAGTTCGGCTATTATCTCAAACATCGGCTGTTTGCAAACATGGATAATTTCTGATGTCAAAACATTATTTACCCTGAGTGTCCGTCAGTTGATATTTTACTATTCAACATGTATGTATTCTATTAGGCTATAGAAACTTGCTTGTTAAATCGTGCAGCACAAGACACCTTTTCGATCTGTGTGCTTCTTGTGGCCGTACATCGAGGGAACGTAACTCAAAACTTTATGCAATTTTTCTAATACTGATTAAATTTATTTAATTTCATACTTCATCGAAGGCGGACTCTATTTAATTTCATACTTTTCATAATATTGACATACGGATGCAATGCATTTGTCAAACGCATCTCAGAAACAGCTGAGCCAGCCAAGTGGTTCAGACAGAGAGAAGAACCACAACCGGTCATGAGCGTCTGATTTGTGACGAATCAGTCGAATGCTCGAAGCTAAGTAAAGTAGGCAGTTGCGCTCTGGACGTTGTGGTGTGAGGTTATGCTACGTTCTTAGAAGGCTTGTGTACTCCATTTCCCGTTATCTCACTTCAGAACCTGGATTAATCATCAGTAAGTTTTAAATTTACTTCAAAATTGACAAAAGATTTATTATTAATTGTATCTTAGCTTGGATGCTGTATTAAAAACTAATATAGTGTAGAAATGAACATGAAATTTTAAAGTCAAATCAATGGCAGCTTCTGAGCTCATAACTTTCACCCGTGTTTGATTTAGTTAATGAGTTTATGAAAATTCATGCGTTACAGCCATTTATTCCATCAATACTTATGGAACATGACAATTTACTTGGTCAAAATCAATATTATGCTTGTAAACGGTCAAATGTCGAAGCATTTTCAAGCGGCGTAAGACAATGCGAGTGGGAAAATTTTTCGGCATGGAATAAAATCTAGTCCAAATGTTTGTCGCTTGCGAGAAAACCTGAAGCTTGCCATGTTTCAGTTCGGCTATTATCTCAAACATCGGCTGTTTGCAAACATGGATAAATTCTGATGTCAAAACATTATTTACCCTGAGTGTCCGTCAGTTGATATTTTACTATTCAACATGTATGTATTCTATTAGGCTATAGAAACTTGCTTGTTAAATCGTGCAGCACAAGACACCTTTTCGATCTGTGTGCTTCTTGTGGCCGTACATCGAGGGAACGTAACTCAAAACTTTATGCAATTTTTCTAATACTGATTAAATTTATTTAATTTCATACTTCATCGAAGGCGGACTCTATTTAATTTCATACTTTTCATAATATTGACATACGGATGCAATGCATTTGTCAAACGCATCTCAGAAACAGCTGAGCCAGCCAAGTGGTTCAGACAGAGAGAAGAACCACAACCGGTCATGAGCGTCTGATTTGTGACGAATCAGTCGAATGCTCGAAGCTAAGTAAAGTAGGCAGTTGCGCTCTGGACGTTGTGGTGTGAGGTTATGCTACGTTCTTAGAAGGCTTGTGTACTCCATTTCCCGTTATCTCACTTCAGAACCTGGATTAATCATCAGTAAGTTTTAAATTTACTTCAAAATTGACAAAAGATTTATTATTAATTGTATCTTAGCTTGAATGCTGTATTAAAAACTGGCGGATTCTCGATGGCCTACAATTATGTGAGTCGTAGGTTTGCCTCGCGTCCCAAATAGAGAATAGATGATTGATCAAGGTTCCTATTGTAAGAATTAATCGCTTTGTGTTCTTTATCTCATTCAGAATTCTGCGTGGAATTCCCAACCCAAGCGTTTATATGGTTCATGATCGTGGTGATTTTGAAACCTAACCTTTATTCTTGCCTTAGCTTAGCCTTTAGGCGGTTCTCAGCAAACTTTACTATTTTGCCTTCTAACCAAGTTAACGCACCAGGGAATCCAAAGAATTAGCGATCGTTGGATAATGTGGTTGTTTATTGTGCCTTTTGTGGTAGCCTGGTAGGAAATGAACGTTTTGAATCGCAGTCAGTTAATATTTTTGTAATTCTTGTGCTGGGTTACTGGAGTGATCGATTTATTCGATGTAGCGATTGCCTTATTCCAGTTATTCGATTACAAGTAAAGCTCAAGAATCAAGATCTAAATGAAGACCCACTTAGAACTGGTAATTGTATTTTATATAGCCGAGTTTACCCTGTTCGTTGCAATTCTTACTATGATCGAGTACTATTAGTATTAGGGTCTTATGTAGTCACTAGTCGGGTTAGGGGCAATAGGCTAGTCGGGTTATGAAACCGTAAAAACCTCAACTGCGTTGCGGTACCGGTGAGGCTGTGATACGTGCTTAGACTTGTGATGTGCTGTGCTGGTGTCTGAATTTTGCCAAGGTATTTGCAATTCTTATTCGAATTAATATACCAGGGTAATATTACCATTATTAAGTAAACAAATATGAAAATTAAAACATGGAAACGAAAAATGGTCAAATGATAATGATTCTGATGCTGTCTTTTTGGCTTTTATTCAACGGAATTAAATTACACCCAGACATATTTTGGGTGTACTTCCTTTATAAGTTAATGAAATTCTAGAGGAAAATGTAATGTAATCAATTAACTATCTACGCATAATTCTTATTTCACGATTTTCACCACTCCATTATTCTCCATACCGTGAGAAATCAATATTTTCCTTAGGCTGCAGTACACCATACCCACCATAGTAGGTGTGCCAGATTACCAATTACCTAACGAGTGTCGAGTTCTTGCACGCGTACGAGTCGTGCTATGCCTTTATATCATATTAACACAAGGAGTATTATTTACTTTGATTATATCATTTCTCGTGGAGGATTTTTCATTGGTATTTTCATGTGTACCAGTGTCACGCTGGTACACATGGTAACCACTCAAACGTACACACACTGTCAGCATGTGTACGTTTGAGTGGTCAGCAGATTGACATAGACGCCCCAGGCATGGAGACGCACATAGCACTTAGTCCTAACCCTGCCTACCTCCATTGAGCCACAAGTCTCCCGCTGACGCCGTTTAGATCTTTATTATTGCGCCCTACTGATACCGCTGAGTATTAGCTGCGATGCGGGTGCTGACAACTCCATGTTTACTGTATTTTCTGAAAATAGAAGTGAAAAAATTTAAGACTGTAGTGTCTACTTGCCAATTATATTCGACATAAGTTGCCATATAGTATGATAGTGTTCTGGAATTAGTAGTCGCGAAAATTCGGTGTATGATATAATCAGTGTACGATATGGTTCAGTTTCATATCTACTCATTACTGATATCTTGCCTTTAGTTGTTTTAATAGCATTAAATTAGGTTCATGTGAAATCGATGCGTATTGTGTTGTATTGGATAACTGGCTTATAAAAGTCAATTAGTATATCAGGCTAACAGTTTAATCTTCACGGAATATTGACGTAGGTTTTGATATGCAAGCTCACGTAGTGTACTAATAGTTGTGTAAGTGTTGGTCAGCATCACCGAGGAGGATATCGCGGACAGTAGCGCAGTGCAACTGTCCTTGCCCAGCTATGGGGGTGCCTTCTCTGCCTCCTCTTGTGCGACGGCATCCAAACGCCTCCCCTTTTTCGGTCTAGGTCGAGGGTCTTATGCATGTTTGGTGGTCAGGGTGGAATTCATGCAATGATATTTCATGTATTCAAGATCAACCCAGCCAGATTACTTAGGCAGTACCTACCAAAATATCAGCTTATTATATATTAAAAATATCGTTGAAGATTATTAGATCCAATATATATGCGCTTATTCATATATTACCCCTTTCCGAATCCCGCCTTGAACTGGTTGGTGACAACGAAATTTTTAGGGGAAAATTAAAATTTTGACTGCATTTCGTATATTTTACGCTTTTTTTTTATTTAAACATTCATTCATTCATAATAATACAGTGGATACTCCATAATTGAAAGAAAAAAACCCACCAAGGGTGGCGTGCACGCTGATGTTATTTTTGTTCTCCACATTTTTGTTGAACGTCTTGATCTAAAAAGACATTGAATTTTTGGGAAGAAATTACGCGTTCAGTTTTATTTGAAGTATTGTTTTCTGGCTTTAGCTTTAGCTTGTGAAAGTTATTCTATTGGTAAAAGTGTTAGTGACTAATTGTTGGCATGTTTGAAAATTAATTTGACAGGAGACTGGCCGTTGTGCGTTGTCTCAACATGCCGTAGTCTCAATGCAATTTTAGACAAGATGATAAAAAGATTACAATATGTTTTTGATAAGAACCTTAATTTGATAACGTTAACTTATCTATATTTATGAGAAATGCAATTTTTCATCAAATTTCGGTGTGAATGGCATTATTGTTTGGGAATAATATTTCCACCAGCCAGATTACTTAGGCAGTACCTACCAAAATATCAGCTTATTATATATTAAAAATATCGTTGAAGATTATTAGATCCAATATATATGCGCTTATTCATATATTACCCCTTTCCGAATCCCGCCTTGAACTGGTTGGTGACAACGAAATTTTTAGGGGAAAATTAAAATTTTGACTGCATTTCGTATATTTTACGCTTTTTTTTTATTTAAACATTCATTCATTCATAATAATACAGTGGATACTCCATAATTGAAAGAAAAAAACCCACCAAGGGTGGCGTGCACGCTGATGTTATTTTTGTTCTCCACATTTTTGTTGAACGTCTTGATCTAAAAAGACATTGAATTTTTGGGAAGAAATTACGCGTTCAGTTTTATTTGAAGTATTGTTTTCTGGCTTTAGCTTTAGCTTGTGAAAGTTATTCTATTGTTAAAGTGTTAGTGACTAATTGTTGGCATGTTTGAAAATTAATTTGACAGGAGACTGGCCGTTGTGCGTTGTCTCAACATGCCGTAGTCTCAATGCAATTTTAGACAAGATGATAAAAAGATTACAATATGTTTTTGATAAGAACCTTAATTTGATAACGTTAACTTATCTATATTTATGAGAAATGCAATTTTTCATCAAATTTCGGTGTGAATGGCATTATTGTTTGGGAATAATATTTCCATGTGCTCTGTTTAAGTTATTTAACCATGATATGAGCGGAATCCTGTAGCTGCCACGCACACTGTGTAAATGCTGTGTGCGCACACTGTGTAAATGCTGTGTGCGCACACTGTGTAAATGCTGTGTGCGCACACTGTGTAAATGCTGTGTGCGGCAGCGTTCGTGACTGTCACGTGTGACTGCATACATCCTGGTGCTGACATGAGACACATCACACGCGTGTGTGTTGTTATATGTATAGGGCGGTGTCGTGTTATAAGCTTACGTATAACTGGCATATGTCATGCGCACACAATGCACGCAATATGACTCACTGGACGGACGTATTGATGAGCTAGTATTAGCTTGCTAGACCTATCAAATTGAAATCATATTTGAATATCGCATCAGTTTAACCTTAGAATTGTATTAAAAACAGACTTTTTGATAGTGAATAATGTTCAAATGGCACTTGAGTTACTCAATGTAGTTATATGACCCTTAACTGAACGCAATCCGGGAATTAAATGGAAAAAAGTGGTTGTTTTATTGTAAATATTTTCCAATTCACATTTTTTTCAGCTCAGTGCAATTTTGTGAAGTATTCATAATATTTAAGCATAGTAAGTAATTTGATTTATCTTTTCTTTTATCCACTTCATTGTAATTGGGGATAATCCATGAGAAATATATTATAGAAAATAATCCTTCAATAGCTATTGCAGTTAGTGGCTATTTTATTTCAGCTTTATTCTTGATTTACGATCACGCCAGGCCTTCTGATGTGTTGATATTGTAGATAAATATTGGCCATTCCGAGCTCATTTAGCCTCACAAAATCGCTGACTCTGCAGATGGTGCTGCAGACTCAGCAACATGCCAGACTTGATATCCCTGAAAGATTTTGATCCAATCCTGACTTGCTACAGTTTGCGGAGACTTGAAGGAGGGGCAGAGCATGATACTTGACGGCAATTTTGTTCGTAGCAGATTCATATTATTCTTTGCCACATATAATTTGCTATGCTGAGTTTCTCAATGAACTCGATGAATATTTTCATTTAATATGATATAGTTCACATACAGCGCTAGTGTGATCCAAAATAGTTCAAGTACAAACAGATGAATTGCAGTATATTGTTCATTGCTGTATAGCGTTTTATTTGTTGTGAACGAAGATAATTTTAACTGAATACTTTTGCATCTTGACCCGAGTCACATCTATATTTCTGTGGTGTTCTTGTTACTATTGTATAGCATTTACCGATACTACAGCACCGATTCAAACGTCATGCCTGCTAAATCCAAATGTCGGATATAGTTAGTATATATGGTTTTGTGTTCTTCTTACATACGGTACTGAATTTTCACTCATTTAATAATCAGTTGAGCACAAAACATTTCTTGACATGGCAGTGCCCTGCGAGTAAACGTGCCCACTCTTGCACTCTGATAGCTAAAGCAGCCTCTGCTATATTTAGTTCCTCTTCTCGGGTGTTTATTTATCTCATTTTGTTTTCTTGTGTACGTTTAAATTAAAATTCGGAACGTTGTGTTACTTTTTCTATTGTTCAAGTCTGTTCAAATCAAGTCGTATTATTTGATCTAACGTTCATGTCGCGCAATTGAACCTTCTTGAATGACTATACATCTGGTCACTTTACACTTGAACAATGATTTTAAACTCGTAATATCGCGTGCCAACGGCTCGCTATGAAAACGATTTTAATCCTTCTAGTGCAACATTGCGTTCGCTATTGTATTGCTTGAGCACGCTGCACTATTATCATGGTTTATATAACTCACATACTAGTACTGTGATAATAATAGTATTAGTACTATTATTTGCATGGTCATAATGAAAAAACACGAAATTTCTGATCGATGTGGTCATTGCTCGGTTGTTATTGTAACAATCATGCTTATCTTATCAGTTGTCTGCACTATCAACGTCGAATGCTTTCTCGTCATAACATCGTACAAATCATTTCCAAAGATAGCGAAATAACTTCTAGTACCTCCGCTTCTCTTGTACGTCGAGCAGCCCAATCTTTGTTCAACCCATCTTTGTCCGTTCGTTGCCGTTGTCCTGCGAATTTCCGGTATAGATGCTTGCTTAATAAATTCATCATTTATGATTTGTATTATTATTGTTACTAAAATATCAGTATCATATTCTATTATTGTCAATATTATTTAGCATAATTTATCGGAATAATTAGCTACGCATTGTATCTATTAGCACTCGCACATATAAATGCAATATCAAGTGGTCTAATCTAATATTGACTGGCACAATACATTTGATGAGTTATAGTTAAAGAACTTTTCATTTTGTTTCAGTTAAGCATCTTTGTCTGATGAATTTTAAAACTTGATAGAAACGATAATGAAAGGTATAAACCAAATCCGGATCACACAGTTTTCTTTCTGAGAGTGAGACAAACTCTGCTCGCTCGCTTGCAAGAAAACGGCCCAAGTGTCAACAATTTGTAGTCTAGGTGCATCACGATGCTCGCTCCATCCGTGAAAGCTTATGCTTTTGTATAAGTTTGCCCTGCACATGTGCGCACTCGCTGTCTCAAAGGATTGTCTGCAAAAATCATTAGTCCGCGTATCATCAGATTGTGTCTTCGTGATATGCAGCATATGCTACTAGTGAATTATGCGTGTTAGGTATCTGGTATCTCGTACGCGAATAGTTATCTTATTGTCTACGACGAAAAAAACTCGATAATGCGGCTTGAGATCAAGAGATTGCATCGAAGTTTTTTTTGTACATGGCTACTTCTATTCTAACTTTTCCATGTAACGTAGTTGACAGCTTGTAAATGTTACAGCTCGGGTCTCTGGGTCTCTCGCAGCATTATTTATTCATGTTTAACTAACGGAAACGTGCGTCAACGAATTCGACCATTTCCGCTCCCTATTTTTTCTAGAACCCTTCACACCGCCTCACTTATGTCCCTTTAAGTGTCAATGTATATTTCTTTTATTTACGGTGCAGAATCTTGCTCATTATCAGCTCGTGACTCCTAAGAACATTTGAAATTTAGTGCGTTTTCCTGCAGCTTTATCGGCCGTCGTCGGGAGCCGAGAGCTCGCGTCCGGTTGACATTTGGGCACCATGTACGGGTACAATTCTGCCTCCTGTACGGTGGTGTAATTTCCGCGAAATATATTAGAAACTTATCGTGCAAAATCTGCAATTTGAAAGCAATTGGAACCATATTGCGCGCTGTTGTTCGATTCAATGTCGTAGTGTTATGTAGTAATAATTATATTTTTATTTCATTAGAGGTTATCTCATGTATCTGATACACATTGGCATGAATTTCCCTCTCTATATAGCGCAATATAGTCTCACACGGTCTCTTCATCAAACTTGGGATTTAAGGAGCTACTGCAAGCTGACCACTGAACTGGTGACCAGTACTGCAGTAATGGCATATTCGTGCTCACTGAAGGACTAGAGCGCAGGAAGCCAACAGTTAACTAAGGGCGTCACGCTCGTATATCTCCCACCTAATATTCGGCATCGTGCCAATTGCAGTGTGTCTTGTTCTCAGTATGCATTACTGACCAGTATATTGTACCATTATCGCAACATCTACGATGACAGCTCCGTATTTCCTTGGATGATAGTGAATAAATTCTGTAGAGTTTCTTTGTCTTTTCCTCGCAAGTTCAGCTTAGTCATCTACTACTGTGTTGCCACTTGATCGAGTGTCGCGATTTGCTGTCCATGCCGCCGTTCCCACCAATGATAAGCTTGCCTGATCCTCGATCACATATTGTTGCTCGATACAACAATTGAGATCACAAGACCAACCCAGCAGCTGAGTGCCACGTAAACTCGTTTAGCTCTCGGCTGCTGAAGCCCAAGTTTGTTAATATGGCAACAAGTGGCGAGATTTGGCACATCGGCCACAGTGACGTCATCACAGTGTTTGCGGTGGCCTGTTTCCAAGAATTTTACTGGATGTGGTGTGCGTTTCAGATGAGTCGTTAGCATTGTTCTTTAAATAATAGTTATTTATGTCCAAGGTTACTTTGAAGTTTTCGCTATTCATCTTGATATCCGCAATCAGTATTCCCGCGAATTGGTCCGTAACCTTAGTGTCGGCTCTCTTCATTTCCCACGAAGTTTTAATGCTCAGCGATTCGTCTTATTTATCAAATATCGAAAGTAAATTTTAATAATTAGATTAGGAATGAATCATGATTTGAAAAATCACGAGGATTTTTATAATCGGTCCTAAATGTTATACGTTATTATTACGGTCTAATTTTACCTCGTTGAACGTAGGTACCTACTGCTCCCTTCGCAGTCAAAATATATATTTGTATAGGTTGATGTCGGAAAATGTTTTGTTTCCAACTATTGATTTTGTTAAATGTATTTGAAGTAACGCATATCTAAATTACATGCTAAAAACGGCAAGCATGACGCAGCCTCTTGCGGCTACCGTTACCTTGACTGTACAACGTTTCTCCTGACGTCTGACGTCATATGCAACGTGCAGTGATTTCTAGAGTGCGTCACGCGATAGGAAAGTAGGATCCGTCGCACGCATGATGAAAGTTAGGCGCAGCTAATTATGCAGCACTTGTGTCTTGTGCTACCTGTGTAGGTATTGCTAGTAATCTATATGAAATGAAAAACTAGTGTTATCTGTACTGAGAGGACATTACTAGTGATGTAGAACCAGTGCTATCTGTGCTGAGAGAATATTGCTAGTAACGTAGAACTAGTGTTATCTGTGCTGAGAGAATATTGCTAGTAACGTAGAACTAGTGTTATCTGTGCTGAGAGAATATTGCTAGAATTGTAGAACTAGTGTTATCTGTGCTGAAAGAATATTGCTAGTAGTGTAGAACTAGTGTTATCTGTGCTGAGAGAATATTGCTTCCATGTTCACGCAAAACACGTACACGCTATTACAGTTATCTTTAATTCTGTTTAAACCTTTGATGGCGGCTGCGTACTGATTAATCCAATCGTCTAAAAATTTAATGTCGCAACACAGGGCCCAAAAGATGCAGAGTCCCCTGTTTTTAACCTAAGAATTGCTCAGCATTCAAATGGACCCCACAACCCATTCCTGTTCATTATACAACAGTGTTCTTGATTGTACGGAAAGAGGATAAATCATTTCGAATCTGGTGTCTGCCCATAAATCTAATATCTTAGTACGTTGAATCGATGTGAATACCTGCGCTGTATTTCCGTGATATTTTTCTAGACCTGACGTTTATTGCAATTTTCTCGCGCATTTATACATGCTTTTTGTTCGCTGCAGCAGCTCCAGAAAGCACAAGCACAACCACAGTCGTACCGCGCAGCGTTAGCAATAGAGGCATCAGAATTCCTAGAGCTTCAAGTCAGTTATGCAGCCCTGTTATTGCCTCAATGAGTTTGCCCCCCAGCATTGCTCAGAGTATATTAAGTTAAGGAAGACATTTGAACGAGAACAAGAACTTCTAGTAATAACTTTTGGAAGTATATACGCTGCATTGTCATGCATTCTTTTGGTACTGCACACATTCTACCTTAGAAATTTCTTGAACGTTCCACCTAATTAAGTTTCAAATGTACTATACGTAGCTCTAATAATTTTCTTGCTTTCATATTACGTTTTTTTTCAGCTGGGACTGTGTGATGAAGATTGCGGGCGCTGGGCCGAGCCTCTGACGCCGTAGAACCATGAAGCCCTCAAGCAATACCTTCCCATGGGAGGGATACGCCTCCAGCAGCCAAAAGGGTGGTAGTCGGGACCAACGCGGAACGCATGAACTCCTTCTTGATGGAGCTTTCGCGTCCCCAAGTTCAACATATCAATATCAGCGTCGGTTGTTCGACATCCGAAATGATTCAGCAGGTGTTAAAGATGGGGCTAGAAACGCCCAAAGAAATAAAGACAATTTTGAATTAAACAGTAGCTGTGGAGCCGTGCAAAAAATAAACTTGTTCAGTGAAGACCAAACAAAAATTGCGCCCAAACAATCGCTTTTGATTGAGTCAAGAGCTGCATTCATCAATTCATCCGAGGGCAGCAGAAGCAGCGGAGAAATGTCTTGGTGCAAAGAAAAGTCTACCTGGAGAGACGGAAGTCTTAGCGATCAACCTTCATTATCAGCTCCGTATTGCTCTACGCCAGAAGGTTCTCTACAAGCCCCTTCTTCGCACAACCCTGCCGTTCATCCTCACTATAGAAGAACCCCTGCCAGACCGCATATTTCAGCTTCTTATACTCCTGAAACGAATGTTGACCATGCCGTGGCTCGTACAACGCATGTCCTGCGTCGTATCGATCCCGCCATGAATAATGTACTAAACTGTTCGAGTGGAAATTTTCTTTTATCTGCGAGCTTATCTGACTGGGATAATGTCTCATCAAAAGGAACCGAGAGCTCAACTTCTCAGGTTGATATTCAAAACAAACCTGAAAACGCTAATTACAAAACACCATTGGCTTCACGTCTCCATCCATTTAGCTATGCTAATTTATGTTTGGAATTTAGCACTCAACTTTTTTCCTGTCAAAACAATTTTTTTGCTCGAAAAAGCTTCTCTTTACCGTCTCGTCTGTACCTGCTGGCGATAATTGCCCTGATCATCATACCTGTCGCCACCAATGCTCTCACGGGACCCAACGTCTGTTCCAAGCAAGAAACGTGAGTTCTGACTTATGCCTCCTTCATTTGTTATAATTTTAACGTGCTTCACTATCCTTAACTATCAATTTACTGTTTATTATTCTTCACACTGTGTTATTGTTAAAATTTTAAAATTTATAGTTTTTTCAGCATCGTTTCAAATTTTTTTTATTTTTTTTTTTGCTGTAGGAGTTTTAAAAGTCCATATTTTTTAGTTGCTCAAACTTTTCTCTCATCTCAGATTCGTCAATTCAGCTGTTCAAAATTGTTTGTATTTATTCTTTTTTATAGTATTAGAGAAAATATTAGATTTGCCTCTATGAATTAAATCTCAATTATAATTCATATATCCCCGTTTCGGTCCCGTCTCCATTTTTTTCACCAATGAAATAAAGTTAAAAAATGTTCTACTCTTACCTTTGAAACGTTTGTCGAAAGATGATGAGATTGAGCTACTAGAACTTTTGAGTGCTGGGGATCGTACCACATAGTGATTTTGTTATAAATTCTCCTTTAGAACAGACTTTGATACTGAAACTTGTAATGATTGAACTCGTAGTAGGGAAAGACAGTTTATTTTGCATCTAGAAATAGTCGAGCCAATTGTACCGTTCATGCAGAGAGGCTTGTTGCACCAAAGCGCAGTATCTTGTTTGGCTGCATCGCAATGCTCGGGAGTGTCAACAAGGTTTGATGTTGCGCGTAACTTGAGAACTTTTCTTCTTTATGCCAGCGAGTGTGGGAAAGGCTTTTGCTCTCATTGATGGGCTTAAATCTTTGCTGCGTGGTAGTGGATTATTTAGAAAGTGTTTGATCCGTGATAAGAATTGTATAGAAACGGCTCACGCTCCCATTTTTCATGGCAATGCATATATTGTCAAAATTTTGTAATTCGCATAGGTATATAATTCTTTTGAAATAAATTTCATTTTCGGTTAAATTCCTTCAGTCAATTCCTCGTTGAATAAGTCATGTTGGCTTATAATGTGGAGCTTATCACTATAGCAAGCCTGTTGTGTTCAACTCTTATCGTCAATATCTAATTATCAGCGCTTCACTAAATTTAGGCCGACATCAATATCTGAAAAGCAGCTTTGCAGCAATACCATGCTGGCTTTAAAGTTTAAGTTTGAGCACTTCACCAATATTATGCTGGCTGAAACCAAACCTAACAATGGCTGCAAAATTATGTCTCAACCCTCGTGTTGCTGACTCCGGTCTGAGTTGTTTTGAAATATACCACACGTCGTATTCATGGAATAGAGCCTGCTTGGTCCATCGAGTTCTGAGAAATTTTGGCTTTGCTTTCTTTCCATGAAATTTTTATATTGCATTCCAGTGAGGAAAATCAACGTAACCAACTGCATTCTGCTGCAGCATTTGTGTTTATTATTTAGCCTTAACTTCCGAGTTTAACAATATGAAATTATGGTGCAAGTGAGCAGAATTACGTCTTTCTAGTATCCTCACAGCAACATTGATTTTATACATAAAGGTTCAAACCCTCGAATATTTGAAAATATTAATATGCACTTATTTGCAGATACACGAGCCTCGTGAACGTATCTGTGGTGAAGGCGTATAGAGTTCGAACCTACGTCTTCTGCCTGAGCATTCCTCCTAAATGTTCCAAGTACAAGATGAACTACAAGACTGCTTACCAAACTCAGGTGAGAGGTTCTTATTACGATGGTTTCTTGTTGATGCTGGCAGTTAGAGCTGCTTATAAACACCAGTTACGTTTGACGTTTTAGATTACGGTCATTAGACGTTCCTGTTACGGTTGAGATAAATTATGACAATTACCCCAGACAATAATGCTACTTGGTGCCTTTATTTACTACTTCAGAGGAAAATATGCCAGCAATTTTAGAGTCGGGCAAATGCTGCTGAGAGATGATTTCGTGTAACTTTGATCAATCTGCATGACTTTCCATTTTTCCCCAGCTCGCATGCAGATAACTATTGAAACTTGTACCTTTTTGATGTAAATACAATTCAGGTATTATATTGATTAATAATTTGATGTAAAATTCCTGCATTTTAGCATGACGCTTACTAATGAATAAAGAACCCGCAATAAATTTCTCAACGTAACGATGTATTGCAGAGTCAGACGAAGACTCGGACCGTGGACGTGTGCTGTAGCGGGTACACTCGTGTGCCTGCGGAGGACCGCTGCAAGGCCATCTGCTCCCAGGACTGCATACACGGTGTCTGTCTCAAGCCCGACCTGTGCCGCTGCGAAGCTGGCTTCTCAGGACCCTCTTGTAACATCAGTAAGCCTTTGTGTCTTCATATTCCTGTTGTTAATTTAGCGGCAACATTGGGTTTGCTGTCTATATATAGTATCTTGTTACGTATTGTTTAATCACTTGATAAGAAAGTATGATGTTGAGACTTCCTCTGGGGGATTTTTTTGTTGAGGCTGATTAACTTTGGAATCGCCCTTAAGCATTCCATGGTCGCTTTGCTATAATTTTGTCACTTAAAAATTATCGACGATTAAAAATTTAATCGTTTCATATCATGCTATTTTATAAACGATGTTTTTTCGTTTTTGAGTGCTGCCCCGTTAGCGCTTCTCGTCGCGAACGGTTCTCGAGTTAAAAATAAAATTTCTCCGTAAATACGAGTTCTTTGAAAGTCCTGTGTTTATGTTCAAATATTTAGACGGGTTGATTCGTCCCTTGTTTAGCGTCTAAGGAATCAATAGATTTCTCAGTTGTTTTTATTAGTAAAACTAATGTTAATACTGCTACATTATTATATAGATATTAGATGAATTATTTTTGTCGTGGTTTGTGGTTAATGCCGATTCAATCAGCACGCTTGATTGTGTTGGAAAGTTTTGGTTTGTTTTTGTTTGCAGAAAATTCAAAATTGCCTGTAGCGTTTTCCGTGGGTTTAGAATGCATTGCATGCTAAAATTTGGTGTTGACTGAGAAGGAGTAATTTCCAAGCTATAAGTTTGTTCATTGACTGTTTTTTTCAACTCTTTGCCCGGTATTGCTTTTCTAACACGTCACTAGTTCCAAACCCTAAACGTTTTTTCGGATTTTCACTTCGACAATAAATAATTTTGACGGGAGCAAATTTCTCATTTCGAACTGTCTTACTTTGCCGCAGAATTCATTACGTACTTTTGAACAGGACGAAGTTGCAATCAGAGATTTGTGTTGCTACTGAAATCATGCTACAACTTTGGAGACGTCAACGATAGCAAAAGATCCCTGCAGCATCGTCGTTATGTATCATGTTGATTTCTGCAGAGCAGTTGGCTTTATGTTCCCAGAGTTTAATTCGTGGTAATTGTGATTACAGCTGACGGAGACCTTATGAATGCGGTTGTAAGCGACCGTTGTACGGGCACGACATGTTATCAATACTGTGAGTTATGGTGCTATGTTTGTGCTCTTGCTTCTCTTGAATAGAACCAAGAGACTTCATTCGGCTGACGGTTACATTTGGAACTTTGGTACTCGTATTTGGCCTTGTTATTCATTCTGAGGTAGTTTTCGCAATCCTATAATCATTGTGCCAAATGTGCATTTAGTTTTCATCCTTCGGCCATCTGGTTTAGCAATACAAATGCTTGGTTTATGCACCATATTTTGGACAGTTTGTGAACTAGTGGCGTTTCGCTCGCTCACGCTTTTTAATCATGCAAGGTGCGATCGCTAACGAATTCGTGCAAATTGCGTTACACGTTAGGTTCTTTTCTACTTTCCATTGCCCGATTAACTAGGTAGGTACTCAACATTGTAAGGATATATCATGTTGTTGCCAACACAGTTCCTGCATGACAGTATGACACAGTTCCTGCATTGTCATATTTTCTCACTATTACAAAGTCACTTTGCTCTTCAATTGTTGAATGCTGAAACTTGACGACTGATCACGTACAAGTGACATTTGCTCGAACCAAATTCTAATGATTTTTACCATGAAAGCTCTGTCCAAGTAGCTAAAAAGCGCCCATCATCCGTTTTTATGTCATCTTTTATAATTTGTATATTATTTAACACGTGAAGTAGTAATTGAAATGTTATGTTTATTGTACTCTTTTTCGGAGGAACTCTTTTTGGTTTCTACATCCTTTTGAGTTATCTCCGGTTACTCTTTAGATATTTTGTTACATTTTCACGTGGTTTCTACGATTGTGTTCTGTCAATTTAACAAGTGTCGTTATTTCTTGCTTTCTGTTATTTGCCCCCACACCGTCATTTGTTGGCGCTGGAAGATAACAATGACATTATGACAATATGGAAATACATTTGCCATCGTAAAATGCACCTGATATCCTGGTGAAGCAATCAAGGTTCTTGTTGGCAAATAAATTCTTGAGTCATTTTTATCACTTCCTGAAATACATGTATATAATGTACTTATATACCTGCCCAATTAATCATCTCTTCCCTTTTTTTGCTGCCTTTCGGTAGGAATGAGAGGTGAGTTTTGAACTCAGTAATTAATTTTATTTTTTATTTAACATCTGGTCAATAACCGGTCTACATTTAGTTATTTTATCGTTGTTTAATTCATATTTTGCATTGTTTCACTGTTCGTAATTTTCCATTAGTGATATCGATGCCTCTGTTTTTATTATACTATTCGTTTCCTGCTTCTTTATCTACCTCTTTATCTCGAAGCTTCATTCCAGGTTAATTGATTTCCTATATTATCGACTTCCTTGTTTTTTTTTAGAAAAGAATTCAATGCCTGCTGTTTCTCTCCATATCTGTATTTTTCATTTCTCTCCCCTCTTTTTCATGCATTCCAATTTATTTTTTCCCCCATCACTCTCATATGATGTCATAGTAACAAGTATGTGGCGTGTGCGTGCAGCGTGCCCAGAGGGCAAGTGGGGCATGGGCTGCGTGCACGACTGTCCCTGCCTCCATGAGGGCAAGTGCGACCCTCTCTACGGCAACTGCTCATGCCACGCTGGTTGGATCGGCCAGTATTGTGAGGAGAAATGTCCCCAAAATAAATACGGCATGGTGAGACATTGACTGTTATTTGCTTGCCGTGATGTTATTTGGCTCTTATCAGTCTTGTTTGGCTGTTCATATAAACCACAATAGTTTGATACATTGAGTGCATCACGGAGACGGTAGTTTGTGCAATAATGTGCATCCCATATTATATTAGCTACACTTCAGATAATATTGTATTGGAAAGGTGTTAGGTAAAATAGTAATGACAATGTGTTTGGTTTGATAAAATCGGGAGCATGTTTGATTAAATGGTATTAGTAATATGTAAACTAGGTAAACTTTGCTCTTGTTTCTTTAATTTACGATAACTTATTAGCGGTAACCGCATCGTTCCAAGGTGGATTCTTTGCCTGCAACTGTGCACCTGCTGGTTATTTCGAACTCCTCGTCTTCGAAATTGATTCGTTGTTTCTTAGAAACCCGGCAAAAAATCTGTATGCAATTAAAGAATACTTCATAGGTGATCTCTAATAACCTAGGCACAAATTTTCATCCTTCTTAGGACTGCAAAGACCAATGCAGGTGTCGCAACGGAGGCACATGCGACCACATCTCGGGGGCCTGCTACTGTCCCCCTGGCTGGACCGGGCCTCTCTGTGAGAAGCTGTGTCCTTCGGGCACCCACGGCAACGCCTGCAGCAACAAGTGCCAGTGCCAGAACGGCGGAAACTGTGATCCCATCACCGGCAAATGTAACTGCCCGCCTGGATGGACGGTGAGAACTTTCGACAGTAAGATAGAGTAGAATAGAAGTGTCGGCATTAAAGAAATAGGCCCATGGCCTGTTGCCGATTCTTATACTTTTCGTGACAGTAAGATGGGCTAGGTATACTAGAATGTCTGTAATTAAATGGTATAGAAAGGTACGAGGTTTCCATCTCAATAGGTTTTTTAGCCATGACACTTGTATTTGTATTATACACTTAGATATGCGATTGTGTACCTTCTCGGTTGGTGAACCAATCGGTTAAAATTATTGATACTCTGACAAAAGTCGGTCTCCTGCGTAGTTTGTTCCTAGTGATCTTGAGCTTAACTGGTTTTCAGTTTATTTTACCAGTGATCGTGTTTCAGGGAGACGTGTGTGCCAACCCATGCCCCATTGGCTCGTGGAGCACCAACTGTACTGAGGTTTGTGACTGCTACAACGGCGCTACGTGTGATCACGTCACCGGCAGGTGCAAGTGCACGGCGGGCTTCCTTGGCAATAAGGTAAGAAACTTCAATATACGACATTACTCTTGAATTCTGAAACCGCTCTTACTTAAATACCTCAATTCGTAACTTTTTCGGCCTAGATGAACATTACTTAAAAACTAACCGTGTCTCAATAATGCTTTCAGTTCCTATCCTCTTGAATTAGTGACTCGCCAAGCTTTTATGTTTTAGTGTTTTTTCTTGAGTATTAATCTTTTCGTGTCTACTATGGCTCTGTGTTCCGCGAGTACTGGTTTCCGATTTAAGGTTGTTTTGTGTTTCAGGTCTTCTTAGGTTTTAATGTCTGACTTAGAATTTTGACTTATAAAATAATTGTATTAATTTTTAGATTGTCTAACTGATGATGGAGTTGGATTCCGAAACGTTTTCAATATCGATATGGTGAATTTGCTTGGCGTTTTCTTTGCTTTTAAATTCCCTGTGAACTTGCGAGTTCACAACTTGCTTTTAAATTTCTTGTAAACTTGCGAATTTATTTCACCGACTGTCAGTAGCACATTAAAAACATTTTCTTTGTGCAGTGCCAGAAGGAATGCCCCTTGGGAACGTACGGAGTGAACTGCACGGAAACGTGCGACTGCAAAAACGGAGCCACTTGCTCTCATATTTCCGGCCGCTGCTTCTGCAAGGAGGGCTGGCTAGGAGACGACTGCTCCCAGTCCGCTTGCCCTGCAAACCAGTTCGGTCCCAGCTGCTCCCAAATGTGCTCCTGTGAGACTGCCAGTACAGAAAGGTGAGCTGTTACAGCAGGCTGAACTGTTGAATAATTTCCTCAACCACCGCTTAAAGGCTTAAAGCAATTCGGATAGATCAAATGAATATAATATATATATTCAATACGATGTATAATATGATCAAGTTACCTCTGTATTTATATCGACAATGAATTTATTTAAACTGGTGCACGTTATCTGACTCGTAGATGTCACCCGTGGACGGGAGAGTGCGAGTGCAAGCCAGGGTGGGCGGGCGTGACGTGTTCGCGCGCGTGTCCCTTCTACAAGTACGGCGAGAAATGTTCCAGTTCGTGCCAGTGTAAAAACGGCGCCTTCTGCAACCCCATCAACGGCAGCTGCACCTGCGCCCCTGGGTAAGAGTGAAGCTAGGATCTCTAATTGCAGCCCGTACTGTGGTAGGATAGGCTTATTGCCAAGGACAAGGTTTAGGATCTTTGAATTATTCTTGCTCTGCAGGCGGTCGTTAATAATCTTCCTACCTTTAATTACAGGCAAATAAATAATTTAATTTGATATATTTTGCTTAGATGTTCTCGGCATAACGTAGAACTTATAGTCGTAATTAAATGATCCTTTCTCTTAGATAAATCGTGCGATTTTTTGAACCACATCACTAGTTGCAGTGAAATGAAAAATATTGATTGGAAAACTGTGACACTAAATTAAGTACAAACCCTTTTAGAAAATGTGAAAAAGCTGCTAAATAATATCACAAAGATTGCGATGGAAGTACAAGTAACTTACCATGACGATACTGCTTGTATTTCAGTAACTTACCAAGCCGTCATTGCAGGTATCACGGGACGTTGTGCGAAGACACGTGTCCGTACGGCAAGTATGGCCAGTCTTGCATGCTGGAGTGCCGCTGTGCTAACGGCAACGGATGCAATCACGAGACTGGCAAGTGCGTGTGTGACTCAGGCTGGGAAGGCCTCCAGTGCGCTGTGACATGTCCAGACGGGCGATACGGCGCCAACTGCACTCGAGAGTGTGACTGTCTGCACGGTGGTGCGTGTCACCCAGAGACGGGAGAGTGTACGTGTGGACCAGGACACTTCGGCGATAGGTTAGTGGTATGATAGCAGGAGAAATTAAGGATTATTTAGAGAAAGCAGGTATTATCGTGTAATGATTGAGTGTTAATTAATCCTCTAACTATTCGGAGTAATTTCACAGCCAAACGTGAAGGTAGTCGCTTTCGGTCACTAAAACAATCTGTTCTGCAGGTGCGAGAAGACGTGTGAGCAAGGCATGCATGGTACCGACTGTAAATACCACTGCGCATGTGTGGGACCAAACGTCGAGGGTTGTGATCCGGAGACGGGCAAGTGCCTCTGCAAACCGGGCTTCCGAGGTGAGCCTTGAAATTATTCGCGAATATTTTGAATTCACCTTTACCTGCCATATCAACACTAATTAGTTGAACTAATGTTTTGCATCGACGTTTTTTTCATTTTAGAGGTGACTGTATCTCTCAACTTTCGAGATGGAAATCTACTGTCGTTGCTTCATTTCAAACTTCTATCGATTAAATACAATATTGATTATGTATTAAAGTTTCGATGCCCCTTATTTGCCGTTTCTCTGATTTGTGCGCAGGCGTGAGTTGCGAGAGTCGCTGCTCGCGCGGTCAGTACGGCGAGAACTGTAATAAGCGCTGCGACTGCAAGAACGAAGGATCCTGTCATCCCGAGACCGGCAAATGTATTTGTGAGCGCGGATGGAACGGGGCTGACTGCAACACTCCATGCCGGCCGCACAAACACGGCGTTAACTGCAACCAAGACTGTCCTACATGCAGTCATGGTTAGTGCTATCCCATGAAAGTTTATAACTTTCCTCAACTGATTTAAGTGAATTGACAATCCATGACTATAGTTTTGGATGTTGCTAGATTATTGAGTGTAACGCTCGACAATTTTTTTCAACTACAACTTATTCTAATAATCATGATGTCTAAATTTTGGGATAGGTACTCGATCACAATCGACTAAAAATGAAAAGGAAAGTTTTTTAATTTTTCTGAGCGAATCTAAATGGCCTTGAATTTAATTGGCACCAACCTATGATTGTATTCTTGATATTTTAAGTTCGCAATATCATATTTCTCATCTTATCTTGACATTTCCTTATCTTGCCAATAATTATCGTAATAATGTACATATTTCGCTATACACGAGTCGGCGCTTCACTTGTCGACGGAAAGATGAGATGTGGGGCAGAAATAAATGTAATATTCAACTCGTCACTTTTTTGGACGCGATAGCGACTGGTGTTAATTGAATCTTTCTAAGTTGCTCCATGTGTAGGGCAACTAGAAAATGTTGCGAGTGTTTCTTTATGGTACTGACACTGCGTGTGTTGCCTTATGGTACTGACACTGTGTGTGTTGCCTTATGGTACTGACACTGCGTGTGTTGCCTTATGGTACTGACACTGCGTGTGTTGCCTTATGGTACTGACACTGTGTGTGTTGCTTTATTGTAGTGACACTGCGTGTGTTGCTTTACGGTACCGACACTGTATGTGTTGCTTTATGGTACTGACACTGCGTGTGTTGCTTTATGGTAACAACAATACGTATGTTGACCAGGTAACGGGACGTGCGAGCACACGACTGGAGCGTGCGTGTGTGCCAGCGGATGGAGAGGTCCTCGATGCGAGCGCACGTGTATTGAAGGCTACTGGGGCATCAACTGCGAGAACGCGTGCCAGTGTCGAAACGGTGGAGAATGCAAGCCGGAGACTGGTAAGCGATGAATAGATTATTGGAGGTTACAATTCTTCAATATCATTATGTTAATTTTCAATCTTCACCTCAAGTGGCCCAATCTGCGCTGGCATTCATGACTACAGCATTGCAGCTCATTCACCTCCAATTGGAAATTTTTATGTAAATGACTCGTGTCCATGATCAATGCCTCTCTCGCGTAGCTTTGTTTTGTACGGTAGCTATTTTGGTTAAGAAAATATTAAGGTATTTGTCTTCACATAGATTTTTTTCGATTAAATTTTCAAAGGAAAACTTATCTTCTATCAGTTTCAAACATTCACATTCGTCAACAGATGCATTTATTATGTAAAAATGTTTGAACTTTGGATAGTAGTGATGGATGTTCTTGACCTGTGTCTCTTGCCCCAGGGTGGGTGAGTTTGACTGGCACTTCAATTAATTTTCAATAGGATTACATATTTTATGTCCCAGTAAAGCATACATAACCTACAGCAAACAATTTTTCTCGTGTGTGAAGAATTGAACTCGATCAACCAGTGAAGGTTATACCTAAACTATGACTCTTGTCTCTAGGCGAGTGTGTGTGTCTGCCTGGTTGGACGGGAGCCAACTGCTCGCAGCCTTGTGCCCACGACTTCTTCGGCTACAACTGCCTACAGCCCTGCCACTGCCGCAACCACGCCTCCTGCCGCGGCAACGACGGCTTTTGCGAGTGTCTTCCGGGTTGGATGGGGCCTGGCTGTACGCAGAGTGAGTTTCACTAACGGCGCTTGAAGTTCCCATAGTGGGTTTTTGTTCACAATTTCACTTTCAAATCTAAAACAATTACAATGTAACTTTTGTGTAATTTATAATGTTTAATTTATTTACGAGTGTAAAATTATATCGAACCATCAGTATAATAAAAGCTGTTTATAAAATAATTACTGCAGTCTTGAATTTCAATCCTGTTCGACAATGGTTGCACTACATACTACATAGACACGCTGTCGAAACCTTGAGCGATTCTTGGTTATGCTTCTGCGAACACGTCAACAGACTTCCTAGTTTTCCTGTGTATTTATTTTTTTTTTGTTGATTGCTCCTTCAATATTCTATGACTTGGAATTTAGAGAAGCACATTTTTATAAATCATCTTAGATATGAAAATGTTATTGATACGACGAATGTAAACCGTGACTGTGATATAATGAGAAAATAATGGACCGTATCCATGTAAACACTTAACTGCTTCGCATTTTTCTGTAGCTGTTATTCAAATTTTGCTTCTTCTGATCTGCAATTTCATAAACATTGTTTCACAGCGTGCCCTGAAGGCTACTACGGTCGCCAGTGTCTCTTTGTCTGCAATTGTCCGTCTGAAAAATTCATCTGCCATCCCGTCGATGGTTGCAAATGTCGTTACGGCTTCGGAGGTGAGTCTCTTGACTCGGATTTCTGAGACTCTCTTCACACAATGCGTACTTTTGCTTGGCCATTTTTATGAAAATACTAATTTTAATCATTATTCCCAATCTTTTTTCCACTTGTGTGTATTATTTTATTTTCGAATGGTTTTTTCATTTCAGCGCCTTTATATATAACCCAAAATTACAATAATTGCTTCCTCGTCTCTAGGCGATCATTGCGACCAGCCCATGACAAGCACCATCGTTGACTTGGAGCCTCTTCCACCCTCGCCACGTCACTCTTCCAACGCCGGCATCATCATGGGTCTCGTCTTCCTCATCGTCTTGACTGTGATTGTGTCTTTGGTCCTTTACTACAGGTGATCTTTTCTACAGTCAATAACACATGCCGCGCTTATTTCGCCGCTTCTCAATAAAAACTGTATAATACTGCAAAAACTACGAATTTTTGAATTCGTTTGCCACATATTAAATACGAAGCTGTTGTAATATCACTAGGGAGTCGTGATTCAGTTTTGTTCATATAAGAGATTGTTTCTATTGAAAGCCGGTAAAATATGTCTTTGGCGACTTGAGTGTTAGGAGTTACTCGATTTAGTTGTCTCTGTCCTCCACTAGAGCCTGGTATTGTGTAGTTTCTTTTCTTTACTGATAAAAAATTTGTCTGACATGAACTGGACGGCAAACGGCCGAGCTACGAGTAAATCAACCTTGAGTGTTCGCTTTTCAAATGACGAACTTTGAAAGTATATGACGTTTAGTATATGCCTCTGTTGAATTTAGTTGTGTTATATACAGTAATATCAGTGATGTATCTTGTGATGTATTGACCAAATTAGTTCAGTTTTCAATAATGGTATCACGCGAAGCTCCTGAGATGACTGACTCGTATATACTTGACAGGCGGCGCGTGAAAAGCTTGAAGCGGGAGCTGGCCGTGAAGTACACCGCCAACCCTCACACCACCACGGGTGAGTTGTCGCTTACGCTTTATGTGGCGAATATTACCTGATTCTGGGTATCAAGTTTCAAAGAGGTCTAAATATTTTAATGACTGGGCTGACCAGGGAATGACTTTTTTCATGTTGGACATCGGAGTCTTGCATTATATGGGCTGCATAATGAAAGGGTACAATCAAGAATCACTGAATAAAGAAGATTTTGGCTGCCCGGAGCTCGTCATTGAATTACTAATTTTTCTTCACAGTTACTAGACGTTTTCATTTGACGTTATATGTTGATTGTCACGTAATTCGAAGGAATGGCGGCTTTTTTTGCCTTACGCTTGTATTTTTGTGAGAAAGATTGTGAATAGTTATTGCTTTTCTCTTCTAAAAAAGTGATTTCTAGGATGATTTTTTGACAAAATGTCTCGGGCACTGACGTTGTGGTCCTTATAATGTTCTACGGAACAGTCTATCATCAAATTCATCATTCACTTCGTCTTGAGAAATAAATTCACCCAGAGATGTTTTCTGCATTGCATCGTGAATTTTCCCTATCAATAAGTTCGTGATTACTAACACTCCAACTTTTGCTTGAAACTCTTGGATTCGCTACATTATTAACCTCGAATTTGCAATGAAGAAAACAACCGTGCTGTATCTGTATTTTCTCTCGGTCGTCAACCTGAAGGTAGTTAAACATTTGAAACGTTGTCTAGCTATCAATCGCTAATTCAGCTCTTTGTTTCTTATCAGCGCTTTACATTCTGATGGTGCTTTTACTCACTGATTTGTTCGCGCCTTATGCTTAGAGCGTCTCTCTTTATCCATGTTAACTTTTAGCCAGCTTCTGATCAATTATCCTCAATTTTTTACGTATGATTACCTTAACACCGTCCATAACTGTGTTTTCTACGCGTGGCTCACTAACGCCGCACAGACCGCCCACCCAAGCTGTCCCGGGAGCCGTCACTGAAGGTGCCGCCGGCTCCATCCCCTCCAGACGCCGCCGCCAAGGCTCGAGCGCAGCGCCTCTCCCTTAAGGGTGGGCCAGACCGGCCAGAAGCTGTCCATAACAGCAGGATGAGCGGTCTGCGCTCCTTGTCTCTCTCGCTTTGCTTATCGCTTTTATTGTATTAATATGGTATTTAATTTTGCATTTATAACAAGACTTCTTCGTTCAAGAATTCAGATTAATATTTAGCGTCCAGGCAAATGACGTTGAAAACGACGTTAATTACGAATAGGTTTAGTTAGAATCGTTCAATCGACGTTAATTCCACGTCAAAGGCACGATAGGCTGCAATACGCCTGATCATCTGTAGTTCAAAACTCAAAAGTCGACAATAAACAAAAATTGCACGAGTTGAAGTGGTTGGAAAATCAATAAAAGCTAAACTCAATATTTCAATTTCATTTCGTCTCTGTTCAGAATGCCTAATGAGGATTTTCATACTAATTCATTGCGTTACTAAACGTCCAGGGTTTAAATTCAGCTTCACTTCTCTGCTCACTCTTTTTCTTTGTGCAATACCTGGACATAACAGAATCAGATAGAGAACTCATTTTGCCGTTGCACTCTTCTTTCATTGCCTAAATTTGGCTACGAGCCTCTTAGCACCTTCACTTATGACTGTCAATTCTTTGAACATTTTTCTTGTTTTTATCAAGTAGCATTCTTCTTGTTCAGGATTAATTCACTTTGGAATTTTCTTAATTCGCTCCTCGATTTTTCCATTTTTCCTTTCGCTGCTCATTTCATGTTTCTACCTTATTTCATTTATCACATTTATGGCATGTGTTTTCATGCTTTCTTTATTTTTATGGAATGTAACGCATGATTGACGATAACTTGGTAATTTATTGACAGGTTTTCGAAAGTGGCTGTTGAGTTTGATGATTTAATAACGCGCAGATCTTCGTTTCTACCTTTTTGGCTCAATTTATTTCATTGCATGCTGTCCGTTTTTGTCTTTTAGCTTATTTGAGTAAACATGAGGTGAATTATTCGGGATCATTACAGATGAAAACCATGACGATTTTTATGCTCATTTATTCGCAGGTCTGTGTTCGCCGATGTTCTTTCTTTAATAAGTTATTTTATTCATGCAGATCAACACCACTTCGACAACCCAGTCTACGCTTACCAACCTGTGAGCAAGTCACAACCTAACTTAGCCGACAACAACGGACAGGCTGGTGGTAGTGGTGGTGGTGCTGGTGGTAGTGGTGCTAATGGTGCTCTCAACACCATCCATAACAACCTCCATCACAACCACAACAAGGACACCAACAATCGGCATTGGGATAAACTTGGAAGCTTCACCTTCGATGACGACGCATCTTGTAGTGTCGGTGCGTGTCTGAAAATTTGCTATTGATGCACTAAAAAAGTGGACCAGACTTAGCTTTTGTGATGCAAAGCTGGGTGAAAGCAGTTGTAACATTGATCGCGTTTTAGAAAAATCGCGTCATGTTGTGACTTATAGCCATAATGTAGGGTACGATAAACTAGTTTTATGTTCGACCAGTGAGTAATTCATATTTTGATGAAGATTTTTTGAAGCTATTCTTAACTGTTTATATTCGTGCAGTATTAATTCCTTACTATCATGAAGTCAACTTTTAATAGAAAACGGTTCCTTCTATTTTAACACGTTGACTACGTATTGGTACATATGCGTACCACGAAATGTATTTCTCCAGGTGGTAGTGGTACATAATTCAGGTTGCATAAAATCGGCCAAATCCGAAAACAAAAAAAGCCAAAAAGGCCGACAATCCAATGTATACCTACTAGTTTATTTGTAGGTTCCGCTATAAAATTCCATTTATTTTCTTTTTTCAGTATTTAAAATTTAATCAGGAAATACCCCTATCATAAATTTTAGCCGGCCAACGCAATTGAGAAAAACTAAATCACAGAATTTGTCCGGAAAAAATGACTGTCTGGCAACCCTGCTTAAAAAAAGTACAAAAAATGAAATAATAATACAAGATGAAGCAATCGTAGTCAACGTGTTAAGAACGAGTTACGAGACATCACTAACCGGTTGGAACACCGGAACAAAACAAAATATCTTAATGCTTATGACTCCAACAATCCGTTATTCTCGTCGTTAATGTGATGTACTCCACAGGCGCATGTATAGCGCCTCAGCCCATCCATGTCACTGTCATCGCTAATGTGATGTGCTCCACAGGCGCCGGTGCAGGGCCGCAACACTACGACGTGCCAGGGAGCAGCACAAGCAGGAAGGCATGGGAGGCCGACTCCACGAACCCAAATCTCTACCACAGCATCGACAACCTCAAAGACAACCGCCTCGTTGACCACGTCTATGATGAGATCAAGCAGAAGTCTCCGCCTCAGCAAGGAGACCCTGGTTAGACTTTGCCGAATAATTTTTTTTTGCTGGCGTCTTGCGTTGACTTTTCAATTTATGGCCAAAATTTTTCGTGCAATAAGTGGCTTTTTCTTCATAAGCTATCGTTTAGTCAAATTTTTAGGTTATTATTTTAATATCGTACGAGTAACGCTAGATAAATAAATAAATAGATAAATAACGAATCCGTTTCAAGATAGTTCCGAGGTGTAACAAATTGTCTCACGTCTCTTGCTCCCGATGATGCAGGCAAGTACAGTACCTCTACTGATTGCTTATGCTTCATGTTCTTAGTGTCCAAATATATTCTCTCAAACAAGGAGGAGATTTGATAGAATATGTATGCCTGCTTTTATTTAGCCTTGGTTCAAGATACATTTCACTTGCATCATTTTTATAATTTTCGTACCTTTTTTGTTGACTTTCCGGATCTCAAAATAGTGATTTATGATGATGTCAGTATCATCGATTAATAATATCATTCATTTATGCACGCTTCAATGGTGATCACATTTTTCTTTATGTTTGAGAAATAAGTCGTAAACCTTCATTTCGTGCTTGAAATATTTCGAACGAGAGAAAACACTTAAAAACAATGCCGAAAATTTTTATTGAAATCATGCGACAATTTATATGTTTTGCTCTGAAAGTTAGTGATGAAAAAATCACGTATAACACATTGGTCTCAATTTATTCCTTGATGAAGTATCCGCGATGGAAATTTGCAATTGCGAATTTGTGAATTGAATGGACAGACATTGCAGTTATGGTGTTGCAAGTTCGCTTCACATCATTTACTCAAATTTCAATCAGGTGGCTAATTGATAGAAAAAATTAACGATCAAAATATTTAATTCATTCATTTTTAACGATAAATTTTGCACGATCATATTAGGCTCGCTCTATACGGATGTAAAGTATGAATTGTAAGCACTGTTGCGCGCTTCAGGGTTGTTTGTTCTCGAGGTTTAGTTCTCGAGGTTTGAAGAAACTTCGTAGTGATAATCATGCAGCTTAGCGATGCAGTGTTGACAACATCCGACTTATTTTATATCGATTGCTTTCTTTTTCATTTGTGTATTTTGATGAGTTTCCCATTCTGATTTTCATTCAACTTCACCTGAATTGATTAGTTCATGATCTCTCAATCTTGAAAAAATTATGCATCTAATAAGTGTTTGGCAATGGATGTTCCCCTTAAAACACGACTGCTGCTCCTGTCTTGCATCCTATAGAATACTAAAACTATGACCTTTGAATGATTATCAAAGTGTTGTGCCGCCCCTGCATTCAATAGGTTTTTTAACGATAAATGTCCAGTTTGTTGATATAGTCATGAATGCTCGAGAATGTTTACGGTGCAGGTGGATTGCTATAATCAAGTGTAAGATTGTTGACGATTTTTACATATTTTGTTGATTTTTGTGAAAAAAAATTTTTGTAAAAAATCTACTCCTGAATACCCAGATTTTTCGATTAGATGCTGACATTAAAGAACGTCCTAGAAGTACGATTTTAGTATGAATAACAGTACTAACGATGCTCCGTCCTTTTCTGCTCGATACCGGGACTACATTCCCTTTCCTTCCTCTCTCTCTACACCACTTCCCCTCTCTTTACACCACTTCCTCTTCTTTCCACACCGCATTCCCTTCTGTCCACACCATAATTCCTTTATATCCCTCCACACCATCCCTTTCCTAACAAATCCCTTATCTATTATATCCATTACCAAACCATTTATTTTCTTCAAATACAAACCCTTCTTTCTCTAAACCATTACATTCAAAGCATCATCCTTTCTTTCCTAACGCCGTCTCTTCATCATCAATATCCTTATTTCCGCCCCCATCCCTTCTTTCCGCGCCATCCCTTCTTTCCATATTAACACCTCTCCATTACACAACTTGTCTCCTCTTCAAGACGGCTCTCATCATTTTTAAGTCAGTCTTTCTATTCCTTCTATTTCTGCTTTTTGCCGAGTTATTTTGAACTTTGCCTCTCTGCCTCAAACAATCACCGTAAATTGTTTCAGCCACGCAACTAATCTGTTGCTGCTTCTCGCAAAACTTATCCTCAATGGCTGTCCTTTTGAGTACCTACCCCAGATGTCGGTAGCTCGGTTGGTGGAGATCATCATAATGCTCCTAGACCCTCTATAAGTGACCCCACTGGGCTCTGGGAGCAAGGGTAAATCGTCCTCCCTTTGATAATTTCTTTAGCTTCTCAGTTGCTCGACTCGTGACCGAGTTAACGTTAACTTGATGCAAAACTTTGCACTTTACAAAAACTGCGCAATTTAAATTGATGATTATCGGTGTTATTAGTAGGAAATTGCATGAGGGAATGCTGGGAAAAGATGTATTTATTTCGAAAAGATGTATAGTATTTCGAATGCGAGTTCTTGCGAACCTGTTAATAGTACTACGGCGAGTTCGCCGTGTTTTTCTAGCGTGTCATTGTTTTGTAGAACCTTCTTTTATTTTTTGGATCCTAATCCTTGATATCCATCATCTCTTAAGAACAATATCTGTAGATATCCGTGTTGCGTCTCTCCTAAGAGATTTCCCTCTCGTATTTCAGTAACATATTCGATTTTTTCGACAATGTGTTATATCGTCTTGCTTGCTTTTTCGAAGATGCTTCGCCATCTCTTGCCGTTTTTATCTTTGCTGTTACAGTGCACATTTTTCCTTCATTTTATCGTGCATTCTGATGTTGAAACCACAAGCTGCTTGATGTTTCTGTTACAAATGGTATGCACCTGAGAGTGCGTTTCAGGATGGCAACCTCCAGGCGCATTAAAACGGAACCAAGAAATAACACTTGCATGTTAGTTGCTTGGATATAAATAGTTTTCTTTGACACCGATCTCCTGCTCTTAAATTAGCATAGTTGACTTCAAAACTGGCACATATGTCCGTCCTAGCGTGACCGAATGTGCGCTATTCTGGTGCGCACTCCTGCCTGATGCTATTCTGAAAATCTTTCGCAATTGTCATCTTTGAAATTTATTAACGCCATGAAGAACCTCCACAGCTGTGGATATTCTTTGACAAGGTTAAGTTTTGTGTCATGTACGATTAAAAAATCCAGTTTGATTCGTATTACCCTCAAGTCAGATCAACTTCATGATGATTTTCATCACTAGGTAGTATTGCTATTATCATTGGGACTAGTACGAGAATCATAGATGATAAGTAAAATAAATGTTATTCCAAAGTAAAGTCAGCACTGATAATATGACTTATTGTGGTCATGAGGTAGAATTGTTTTGGGTGTGCAAATTTTAATATATACAAGTAAAACCTTATTTTTACTCTCTTTTTCAACGGTAATAAAAAATGTGGCGTTTTTAAAACTATGCATTATCTCCTTATGTTTGCGCTTGGAGACATGGCTCTATCATCCCTTGAGTAACTTTGTAGCAGAAAGTAACTGACGAGTCAAACGACACTTGCTTCTGTGTCACGAGAAGTAATTTTGATCACGAATCACCTTAGAATGCCTCTATACGATTTCGTTAACACAATTTAATTATATTATCATTACAATCCCGAGATGGTTTGAGCTGGTGTTCTAAATCTTTCACACGGGGTGCTCAAAACCTTCGTCATGTTGCTATTTGCTCCTGGTTACGTCAGCTCCCGCTTCTATTTGGTAACCTTATCGAGCTGCTGGCTGTGTCTGCCAATATATTGTTTATTTACTCCCCGTAATCCCGCTGTACCCGCACTGCACTCTCCTCGTCTCCCTGTTGCAGGTGGAGAGTACGACCGACTGACCTACTCCCGTCCTGCGGTCACGGTGACCCCACACTACTACAGGATGCCCACCACCCTCCCCCCTGCCCACACCATCCTACCCAGCACCACCCTGACTTCGTCGCCACAACCACGGCATCTTCCAACCATACCCACCACCATCACCCCCACAGTTCCGCTTCCAACCACCATCTGCACCACCAACACCACTACAACACCCTTCAATACAATCCCTCAACTACCGTTTCTAACCTCGTCAACCATCACGCCTCATCAACTAACTACCTCAACCAGTCATCCGAGTGCCTCAACCGATCCATCACTCACCTCAACCAACTTAGTGGGGAGCACCTCCCACAAGACTACGACCACATTCTCTCAACCGCAACCAACAACCAGCACCACCATTTCCACCATCACCAGCTCAAACAACTCAACAATGTCTCCGGAGGCTCGCACATCTCGCACTCCCTCCACTGATTCCAATAGCGAGAATGATGTCACTCCTCCGCCACTTCCAGGAGGTCACCCTTTGGGCAAAAATTTCAGCAGCAGCGTCAACAAACCTAAAATTTCTAGCGTGAAAGTTTCAAATCTGCAACCGGAGGCCAGTGAAGATGTTTACTCAACTCCAAGGCTAAACAACTTAGATGTGAGCCTTGAAAATGACCAAAGCCTGATGCCCGATACTTTCAATAACTTGGCGAGCAACAACTTTCCTTCAACTAATCCCTTCCGACAAATGGGACAGGATCGTGGTTTACCGGAGGACAACGAAGACGATGATCGGACACTTCTGTCGGCTGCTGCTGACGCTGATGACAGTGCGAGTGATACTGAAGCTGACACCATGAAAATTGAAGGTGTCTAGAGAAAGAATTAAATGGCACACATCTACGTTGTATGTGAACCTTTTAAACTTTAGTGGATATTAGTGTCTGGCATTCACCGTTATCATTATTTGGATGTGGTGATGCACTTCTTGACGGCCTGATTCTGAAGATCGGTCTTTTTAACAAAGTATTATATCATAACTTGACTCTTATGCGTCATCACTTGGACCTGATCGAGTGGAAATACGCTTATGCCAAATTTCTTCTCAAGAACATTTTACAGCTTAGCGCTGCTGTGTATATTATCTAGGAATGAATAAAAACTGTGTAGTATGGGGAGCGGCAATAACTTGCGTTTTCTGACGGTTCTTGTTCTGTGAAGCCATCGTTCTTGGCCGAACGATGAGACCGTCTATTACTGAACACTAATTGTGGTAAGAAGTTGATTTCACCTCTAAATGCGATGTGTCTTCAACCAGCCGCGAACTTCAATGTTTTAAGATTTTCCGTTTCTATACTCGAAAACTAACATGTAATGATGGTTTTTAATCGTGACTGATCAATCTTGTTGCTGCATTAAACGATTTAGGCATACCTAGATGGCTCAGGTCCATGTCAATCATTTTAGGTTTTATACCATCGCCATCATTGGTAGCTCTCCTCGTGTACAGCAAATTTTAGAGCAAACTTTCCACTGTCAACTGATTACTCTGCTAATTCAGCTAGCGGTGTTCAAATAATCCCTTCAGTGTTGGTTCTTGAGCCACGATTGAAATATAGCTGTGCCATCCCTCACTTCAAAGTAACCTCGAGTGTGGATGCGCTAACTATCCCATACAGCTTAGTCGTACGTCGTAGGGGGCATAGATCACTCGCAGAATGTGGATGTATTGTCGAGTAGTTACTCTTTGTTATTTGGTCTAAGCTATGTCATGAGTTTTAGGGTAAAACTATCCGTCTTTTAGATCAGGTGAGGAAGTGAAGGCCTTTTTTAACAGCACCGAGTGGACCAGAACTCCTCCTACGCCCCGTAATGCTACTCTTACTCATTACGGTCTCCTTGTTCGTCGTTGTTAGCTCACCCTCCTGTCACACGCATCCGTCGCGTATCTTCTGCGCTCGGATATCAACTTGATTCTTCGCACGTATTTTAGATAGCGACCTCCTCATCACGTCAGTTTTAAATATAGACCTACGTACTCTGAACCAGTTTTAAACGCCAGTTTTCTTTCGACGTAGTTATTAAATCAAAGTAAACTCGAATATGATGGATTCGAAAGGATTGTCATTGATATTTCAGCAGCCCACAACGTTCCTTCCGGAAACTTAGTTCGAGGTTCGGACTCTGCGCTGAAGTTTCGACAGTGCTGTATGCTAAATTTAAAGTTAGAATGTACAAATAGTGAGCGTTGAAAATTTTTTGAATAAATTTTAAAGCTTGACTTCGTTTCCGACCTGTTCAAGTGTGACTGGCTGTGCAATTTCACATTTTTTCCTTAAAATAAAGTTTCTCTTGTCGTTAGAAATTCGTTCGAACGCCTTATTTTTTCGAGATATACACATATTACCCATGTGTACAGCGCTGCATTATTCATTACCGTATTTTTCATGTATTATATTCATGTGAGAAGATAACATGATATTTTATTACATTGAATTTCGCGCGGGTCCGCTTTTTAATTTTTTAACTATTGCTTCACTGTGGATAAGCCCCGACATTCCATAACGATTACTTTTATGTTCGAAGTAACGGTTTTGCTGGTTTATCCTACGTGTTATTAAGACAACCTTAAAATATGGCACTGAATTTTCATCAATGAATTGATATCTACTTTATGATAGCATATTAATTGCTGAACTTTTTATTACCTTATCAGTATACTTAACCAGCGATCTTTAGTCTTACAAGTCTCCACGAAATCTTCATTCCTGCACAAAATTCCTTTTGTTTGTGATACGCTTCAGTCTTTCATTCTAAACACCGCGAGTTAAATCTTAGTAGTTAGCGTTGTTTTATTTTATTATTATGTTCTGTAATTATGTTCAATTGTGATGAAATTATTTTACTCTATCTGTACTTCTATATGGAAAGAAACTGTCTGTACTCCTCTTTGATTTTAAATGCTGTTCTCCTGGCCGTGATTGTGGAGAAATATTCTTTTAAGAACAAGCTTTCATCGTGGACGCGGTAACTTTCTATTTATATTATAGCAGGTTTCCCTTCCTCGTATATGTTCATTTTATCACTATTTTATGATCAGTCTAATACTTATGTGATCGTTGTTGCCATTAACAATGCCTTTGTAAAGTATTAATATAAGCAAAAAGCTGTTTTTGCGTCGCTCGAACATTTAAAGTTGTCAAAAGTAGCTCCTCCTTGATTATCGGAACATTTTTCGGGCATTGCGAGTTTTTTTACTTCCATTTGTTTCGATTAAAATGATATAACATGTAGCTTTTCTTCATTGATGCCCAAATCAGATTCCTCCACTAAAATGTATGCTATACAAATCTTTGTACGGATATTCTAAACTTTAAAATTAGGTTGCTGGATTGTACAGACAGGTACAATTGTAAAACTCAATTTTTTCCAATCCATATAATTGAATATTTTCCCTTTAATATTATTTCAGCTGTTTCTTGCAGTCATATATCGCAAAGGACAACACCAATGTTGATGAGCTCTGTATACAGAGGGTTTCTTTTATGCTCGTTCTGCTGTTGTTACCGCAATTTTTGTTCCACTTGCTGGACGTGTAAACGTGAGCAGCCGCAGCGTACCATCATGTATGTTCCACGTATCACCAACTAATTCTTCATAAGAATCGTTAATAGGTGTCATCAGTTCCATTTTATTTGATGCGATCATAGTTAGCGAATAAGTTGAATAAACTGGTAGAGATTTCTAGTGGCCGCTCCGACCACGCAGTATCGTGTGGCAACAGTTGCAAATCATTGAGAGATTATCTTGTGTTGCGCAGTAAACATTATTTTTAATTAATGATACGACCTCATTCATGTCCCGAAAAAAAATCGCAACATCTGGAATTACTACTCATATTACTATTGGCATGCGTACCGCTGTTTGGGAGCCACTAAGTTTCAGGAATGCCCGAATGCCTATGTCATGACGCTACGTAACAATGAATTACTATGAAGTGCTAGTCTGATCCCTAAAAATGAGTTTTTTTAATGTAATCGAGCGAAAGTAAAATTTAATTACTCCTGGGCAGCGTTATAAAAACGTTAGATTTACGTCATCATCGGAAATTTGTAAAATACAATTATGAAACTGATCCACTGAGAGAGCGATCGTTGTAATTTTAATGAGATGTACGTCAATTACTAAATTGCGGTTGTTCACCCGCTATATCGCAGATTTGGATGAAGTGAGGCTAGAAGTGTCGGTTTCAATTGAATATCAAATTATGTCCCAAGCTTATTATTCGTTGTGTTTTTTAAGTATACGAAATCAATTTTAGAGCAATTTTACCCTCTATGAATTATAGCAGGCTAATGATATATTATAACGTAATGCACATATATTGATAAAAATAATTCTCCGTTTTTATACTATGAATGGTTCAAGCAAATATTTTATAAACTTGAAACGTTATTGATTATGCTTTTTAAAAACTCCATGAATTTTATGACTTTAAATTTATGGGATTATTTTATGCGATATTGCAGTATGTTAAGATAATGATGTGATTAATCTAATTTAAAATAAGAACGACGTTACATTTTTATGAAATATGGCAGATCTGCAGCCCAAACATCTTTATTGGTATGGCAGGCATGATCATGCGTAGTCATTTGCACTATAATGAATAATTCACATCGAGGAAGACATGTTAATCGTGTGAAGAATATCTGTGTGTTGAAATCAGTGGTAGGATACTGTTCTTCTCCTCATAGTTCTTACAGTAAATAATTCGCTAGGATAATCTATACTTCCATTGGAATCGTGTTAATTCTGTGTCGTAGTTCAAAGCGTAGCCGGTTTTGTACATTGATTATAGAGTGTTGAAGTTTGGAGGACATCGCCAAGATGGGACGCGCTTTTGTGATAGGCCATCAATGCCAATATCGGTAGTCGCGGTATGCTTAAGTTCTGCTCTGCCTGGTCAGGTTCTGAGGTATCGTCCATTTTCTGGATTATGGTTACAAATCCTTTACATTCATTGTGTCTCGTGTAATTACGAGTCATCAGCAAATAAATTTCGACCAGTCTAGCCATTATTTTATATAAACAAGTGGTGATTACGACTTGAAATGTATGAATAGTTACAGGCTAATTCAACATAGGTTGTTATTGTCTTTTTTTTTTCTTATTCAGATTTGCTCCACTAGGCTCCGTTCTTTTTTAAAGTGATCCTTTTTACTACTATTATGAATACTCCAAAGTTCGTACGTTTATTGGGAGAATGTCCTCGGGGTTTGTGGAAAATAAATTTTGCAATGTTTACAGCGTATTAGACAAATAGTCTTGTAGCAAGACGCAATTTCATTGTACAATAATAATAATGATAATAATAGCTTTAACTAACAAGAATCTTATTATAGTTGACTCGAGGCCATTCAAATCTTTTATCTGTACTTAGAAGTAGGACTAGGCGATGGTTGTACCGGTGTGCACTACCACTTGCTTGTATGTGTTGGGCTTAGCATCCATTCTTTCAGTGAAAAAAAATCTTTGACGTTGTAACAAAAAGTTCGTTAAACTGATTAACTTTAAGATATTTCAAAGTAGAAACCATGCACCAGGTAAAGCTGTAAATCGTTTGCTCCGCTGCAATGGTTTTAATGTTGAGATTGAAAAGCGTTTGCCTAAGCGTATTTAGAACAATCATTATGCACTGGACCCAGTTCGAAGTTCTTGCATAGAAGTATTCTGGTAATTTCTTGAATATTTAAAGTATTAACTTACACGTCGAGCACACGAGAAAAAAGGTCAAGACCTTGATTTTTCACGCTATTGAACTGCATGTCTTATCAACTATTGAACTATTGTTTTCCCATGTCTTATCAACTATTGAACTATTGTTTTCCCATGTCTTATCAACTATTGAACTATTGTATTCCCATGTCTTATCAACTATTGAACTATTGTTTTCCCGATTTGATTAATTAGGTTTCTATCCGTGCGATGACGTGAGTGATCAAAAATATTGCGCGTGCCCTGATTCTGTCTTGAAATTTTTTAAGATACGTGCGTTCTTCCGTCAAAGCGATTTTCACGAATGTCCGGTTTTTTCTGATTTATATTTTTACAATTTGATTGTATATCAATTTATTTTATTTATAAATCTTGAATCATTTCCGCGTGGATGACTCCTTTCATGGCAGTTTTAAGTCCCGACTTTCGTGAAGAAATATCGATCAGTGTTCATGAAGAAAGGGGTACCAGTTTCATGTGCTCAATGCACCTTAGTTTGAGCTTCAGTTATCAATCTATGTTATAGCTTTATTCGTATTCATTTATTTATTTATTTACTGCTGTTATCTCACAAGCATTTCAGAATACATGTTCCCCTTTCCGCAATTTTATACAGGAGGTATAATTTATATATAGTAAACCTGTATGTTTGTCAATTGCATACTCTTATTCTGATTTTGCATATTCTTTTACATGCGTAATTCGTGAATCGATGAGTTCCTCGAATTTCTCCCTTGAATGTTAATCGTAATAATCCCTCCCAGAAATCATGGCTGCTCCTGCAACGTGTTGGTTTTATACTGTGGTATTTTTAGCTATAATTTTATATTGCATTGGAGGTGACAATCAAAAGTCTTTTCCAGAGGTTAGGTTTTGCAGCATCTTAGATGAAGAAGTCTTGTGACTTGAACTTTAAAATTCCAATGCATTGTAATACGCAGGATATTGCAAACGAAGACTTCGTCTATTGCCGCTCGCTGGCCGTTGTGGATGTCCACGCAGGTATTTTGTACCATTTTTAGTTCGGGATATTGTTGGCACACAAATGGTTGAAGTCACAACAATCCTGATCATGTAGGCAGAAATGTCCATTTTCTGAGCGCTCGGACACTTGGGGACTAATTATCGTAGCAGGTTTTCATGCATAACTTTGTCAAATCTGAACCGATCATGACCTAATTAGCAACGAAGATATTTATTGACATTACGCTCATGCGAATTTGGTCAGAATTGCACTGTCCGCTTCATTTTCTTACAGCGCGCTTAACGCTAGATTAAACAGGTGCGCTGCAACTTCTCGTTCAGTGGACTACGTGAAACTGTGAATAAAAGAAATGCTGACAACGCTCGCAGAAGCTTCGTTATTAAGTAGGTCAAGATCGGTTTGATATGACTAAGTTATGCATGGATGACCTGCTAGAGAAATGTGGCCCAAAAATGATAGAGTGCTGCTTACGTATTTTTTTTTTTTTTTGAGATAGCGAAATTTAATCGTCAGCAAAATTTGGACACATTTATTGCTTTGATTTTTAATTGCGTGCAGAAATATATTTGTTCATACCCGCTGCAGGCTTGCGAATACATTGAATTTTTATTTCGAACTTATAATTGACAGCTATATTTTATGATAAGTCTGCATTCATTGGTCGTTAGCTGATATTGTGCAACTCAACTTGTTTCTGCGTAGAGAATTCATGTCATGAACTTCTCTTTTTTGAAGGATTTATTACTTCCGAAGTTGCAGCTTCGGTTACGAAGTTTACAAAACTCGGAAAATGTTTAAATTGATCTAGATTAATTTCTCTATCTTGTAACAATTTTTTTGTAGCTTAGGGCGCATCATTGTCGTGAGATGTAAATAGTTGAGCGTATAGTATATTTTATATCGGACACAAATATTACTCTGAAGTGATCTTAAAAGTCTCAATAAACTTTCATTACAAAACCTATTTATGAATCACTTCTAATCGGTAACACTGGTCATCTCTACCAACCACGACACGTTTCAAAGTAACAAATTTGGCTAAAAGGAATATAAAAATTTGAATAAGCTCTTTTACGCCTGAATGCTAAGTCAGGAACTGAAAATGACAAGACATGAATAACATTCACTTCAGCCGGTTACATTTACTTGGTAAAAAAATGGATTAATGTACATACTATACATGGACATTTGATTACTATGTACACGATGATGCTATTTGCACTGATTGATGATAATTCAAGACTCCATCATTAGTATGCCGGGATACATAGGTTACTATATTTTCACTTATGCTACCCTAGGAAAGGCTGTGCTCCAACTCTCGAGTGTAGTGAACTTGATATAACGTGCCCCGTGGTCAACCGTTCGAGGATATTTTTACTTTTCCCCCAAAAAATAAGGCTGAAACAAACTCTCCCATCAGGTGTATTCGTGATATCAGCGTGCAAGACATTTTTTCTGTAAAATACTGAATATGTTCGAACTGCGTTCCAGGGAGATAGCAATAACAACATCTAGTATCTTCTCCCATAAGTCACGAATATCTAGCCATTTAAAGAAATTTTCCAGGCTACATAACAATTCCTACTTTAAATGATACTGGCAGCCCCTCTAAAAATTCAAATAATGGCACAATGAGCCAGCAAAAATTGTGTTCATTCAACAAATTCAATAAAATCACATTAGAGAAACGATTCAATTCCAAAATGAATTACGGCTAAAACGAGATGATCAATATTCATATATAACTCGGCTTAAATCAACAACACGCGTGTAATTCGTAGCAAACAACAGCAATAACGTCAATCACTAGAGATAATCACCTTAAAATAATTGACACATTATGTTAAGGGACGGACTAATGGATAGAAAAAAATTACACTAGGTCGCTTCAGACACAAAACAAAGTTGCTTTCTTTATCTCCCCTCAATGCATAGGGAATGTAATGTATTGGTAACGCCAGATCATTTTGGAGGATATAGGTACCAAATAATGTGAATGCATTTGAACAAACCTACAAATTTAGAGTCAACAGTTTACCGAAACAAAATGTAGGTATAACTGGGTACACTCTGAGAACATAAGTTAGTTGGTGGCTGCTGCATTTTTACTTGTGCATAATATAAAACCCTGCTAATAGATTAGTATAAGGTCTGCTTTTGAAAAAAAACACGAAAATACAAATGCGGGAGATTAAAGGAAATTCTGCACTAAGTAGGAATTGGGCACGTCTCATAAGTAGTCATCAGGAATTCCTTCCCTGGCACTGCATCCTATATCATTTCACAAGATCTACAATGCGTACAGTAACAACCCAGTGAAAATTTACTAACTTGTCAGCTTCTGATTTTAATTACCAGAGGCTAGGGTTACTATATTTTGTTAGGAAGATACGTGTGACACGTTCCCTTAATTTATCCGCAATTACAATTCTTTTGTACTCACAAAAGCGGAACTTCTTGTTATTCAAAATAATTGCCATGGTAAGGCAGTAAACTCAAAAGATATAATAAGAATTACAAACGATGTGCGTTCTAAACGCAGCCACATTTAACTAAAAATAAAACATCTTGTGAGTACACAATCAGACAAGGAAATTCTCGGCACTAGACCCGAATCCGAATTGTTCCAATTCAAGATCGATGCTCCAATATGCTCAACTCTTTCCTCTGACAGGAGCGATAAAAGCCGTTGTCACGCCAGTCCATAGCTTTCTGCGTTATGTGTTCAATAGGAGTCACGTTAATACGACTTAGCCGCACCGGACGATACACTAGTAGGAGACAACTGACCAAAACAAAACAGTTATTCTATATTGATAAGTAAATATACGATATCGTGTATAAAAATACGGCAACAACTTTAGCTGCCTTCGTGACCTTAATTCGCACTACATTCTAGAACGTGGCCCGCCATCATATTCAATTCTGTCGTTATGGGTACACGTATTTGCGTAAATAGAGCCAAACAACATTGGGATAATTAAGACGTTCAACTAAAGGTAATGTCAATAATTTGAATAAACATAAAATATGAAGAATTTACGGAAGAAATTAAGCGCTGTTCAGGAAGAAATCTAAAATTCATCTTAGGACTCAGACGAGATGCATTTACTATGGGTGGAAAATTTTCTCTTAACGGAACTTGAAATCGAACGGATCTCAACAACAAACGTACGAACACCCAAGGAACATGCGGGAACACGAGTGTCGTTCATAAGGTAGTGGCGACGACACTAACATACATACATACAAACACAATCTGTACAGTACATACATTCATACAAACGCAATTTGTACAGTACACAGACACGCTTTGTACATAATTTTCGATCAATAATGGAAAGCCACACGGTAAAAACGACCATCCCTTGAAGAATACGGACCTCAGCTCATCATTTTTACTGAGGCCGCTCTTACGATGTGGCTCCCCTGATGGAAAATCTGACCTCGTAATTGCGTCAAACTAAGTTACAACTTTTGGCTATTGAGCCAGCAAGTTGACTAGGCGTGGCCATTTACGCTGTTGGTCAGCAGCTCCATTTCACTCTGCAGGAAAAAAATAGATCAAAATAGAAAGTAAGATAGAAATATTTCAATGAGGAAATCGTGCCTAACTTTTACATACGGGCCAATACATCACCATCATCCTAAATACTTGAAAACAGCTCATAAATTTTTATGTTCAAATAATTTGAACATTTTAATATAAAATGCAAGAGCAGCTATCATTGGCTATTCGAGAATTTTGAGAGTTGATTAAGAAGTTTTATGACATTACAAACGATAATTGATGACGACTGTTAATTTAATAATCATTATTATTAATACTAACGCTCACTTGAAGACCAATGCCAGACAGATTATCCAGCATCTGACGCTCTCTGAAAAATAATAGAATAATCATTAAACTTACTTCCTAGACTAGATTCAAGCTGAATTAGAAATTTGATATCCAGTGCAATGTGTTCCTAAAAATCCATTCAAATGCGGACAATACTTGATGCAACGAGGATAAATTATTTTGCTGTCTCTTATTCGCGAACTATACCAATATCACATCTTCATACACACACACACCATTACTCGTAGTCGTTTCTTTCTGCAAATCAAGTTCCAACTGTTGCAGTTCAAGCTGTATGATCCATTATTTGGGTGTAACAAAAATAAGAAACAACAAATGCCAAGTCTCATTGAATGGCCAGTGTCGCAAGATTTGCCGTCATCACACGAGATTAAATTGACTCTAAGTACATAGAAATAACAAAAAAGTTATCGTCTACGCAAGTTAATTTTTGCTCCCGCCCAAGACGAGGTATAAAACATACAATCATGCAAATATTTTATTGGATGATTTCGACCACAAAAAGATCACGAGCGAACATTTGAAATGCAGTAAACAGAACTTGTAGTGCATTGAATATTATCTTTTGCAATTTTGACAATACTCACTTCCACTTCTCCCTGTTAAGGCAAAAAGGCAGCATGCAGGTCAAAAGAAAGATGTACGTGAGTTTGAAGCGGGTTTGCAGAGACGCTAAACGTGAAAATTGAACAATAAATTTTACCATGACAAACGTACAATAAATCAAGTCTCAGTTTTATTGACATTTCAAACTGTTTGCACGTTCCATGTAGACATTGAATGGTCACAGATTAGAAGGGTTCCTAGGGGATAAGTGATGGTCAGAGGAGGCAAGTGATGGTCAGAGGAGACAGGTGATGGTCAGAGGCAACAAAGGAAGGTTGAAATTAGGATCACTTACGGTGATGTGCCCTTATCAAAGCGCCCTCCCTCTCCTCGTACTCTGTTCATGGCATGTCGGTGTCGTGACTCGTGCAAGTATTTCTGCAAAAAAAGACATGAATGAGAATGGGTGCTCAACATTCTAGCAATATAAACGCCAACTAACATTAAACAATGTTTCACGGCAAAAAAAGTTTTTACAATTCATTACCAATAGAAGCTTTAAATTATGACACATATTAGCCTCATTACTATCTGTGAAATCGTTAGTAGCTGTAATTACATGAAAAATCAGTGATGGCAAACCAATCGTTACAAATAAAAGGAAATTATCATATAATTAAGCATTCAAGTATTACCCCCCGTCATCAACTAAACACAAAAACAGGATGTTTAACTTGTCCATAAAAAATGAAAATCAGAATGTATCAACACATTAACATAAAAACATAACAGTATAAAAAACTTCCCTTTATAAATGTTTGACTTGAATTTAAAGATGCCAAAAAACCAAACGGAACCAATAGAACCGCATTTATAATACTTAGCATGCAACGCACCCGCCTCTCCTTGGGTATCCGGCCATCACTCTCAAGCTTTGCTCTGGCTTGTCTGCGTTTGAGTATCCTGTGGTATTGCTTGGCGTTGACGTAGAGCGGCTCTTCCTCCACCACTTCCGTGGCTCCCGTTATAGGAACCCGCTGTATTTGTGGTACCGTTGCTGCTCCATTATTCACCTGCAACAATTTAGTTCAAAAGAAATTTAAGAGCAAATAAAACACCGAGCAAATTGGCCATATCGATATTGAAAACATTTCAGAGTCCAGCTCCATAATATGATTTTATTCATTTTTAGTTTTTCGAACTGATGATGGAGCTGGACTCCGAAACGTTTTCAATATTGATATGGTGAATTTGCTTGGTGTTTTCTTTGCTTTTGATATACGTACTAATTTAGCAGACTGATGATATACGTACTAATTTAGTTCAAGTTTTACATTGCAAAAGAAAATGTGGTATGAATTAAAACACATTGTAAAACATGTCAACACTTTGCATGCTAAACTAAATGGATGTCATTAAGTATCTTCAGACACGAGTTGATAAATACCCGTAATGGACAATTTTTTGCGATCACAATATAACGCACTACTGTACCATTCACAGTCACGATTCTCAAATAATAGAAGTCATATCCGAGGTAAACATTTCCTCTTCACAACCCAAGAAAATTATACTACCTAAGAAACAAATTAAACACACTTCCTTTAGTATTTCAATTAAAAATGTCAAGTTTCGTCTTACCTACCTACAAGAAGGATTGCAATTGAACTGTTAGTAATATCAACTAACAAGCTAACGAATTCTAGCAAGAACAAAGTAACAGAGTCATCTAATCAGGAGCAAAAAATTTGCTTAGCTGTAAAAAAGCCTCACCATTAGGACATTGGCAGGCAATGCGCCCTGCGAGTGCGTGACGACCTGAGTGCCGTGCTGCACGGGCACCTGCGTCGCCTGCTGGGGAGCTGCCACCTGCGCCGCTGCAGACACGGGACTCGTGGCTATATGAGGGGGACTGCTCGCGGTAGCGGGCACTTGGGCAACACTCTGTTGGGGCTGCTGCTGGGGAGGTGCTGTCGTCAACTGGATGATGCTACCTGCAATGCAGAAATTTCGCAAATTTAATTAGTACCACTCTAGTAAAAAATACCAGGATCAAAATAAACACAGTTTTATATGTACGAGAAGACACAAAACGCCAAAAAAGCATACATTTTGCTGAAAGTGAAACAAAATTTCCTCGTGCAAAATAGAAACAGCATCAGACATGCAACGGTAGATTTACCAAATTTCAAAGACGGCTTTAAATTGTGGAAACAAAGCCAATTTATCAAGTTCTCAAGTGTGACGTTTCAAAATAGAATATTTCTTGGACAACCTATGACAGAATTTACAAATTGTAAAACTAAATAAAATGAACACTGATACACTTCGTTGTAATACTTTAATTATGAAGCTTTGATTGATCTAATTCATCAACACGGCCACAGAAAATTTAAGCTTATCAAGAAGGGGTAAGTTAATACAATTACAGTATAAGTGTTAACATGAATTAAATATTATCAAGCTAAACAAAAATGAACCATTCTAGAAAATAGTTTAAGAAACATTTCATGGAATCTTCAGACCGTTCAAGAAGAGGCAGCTGTGGCAAAAGTTGGTAGCAAACTCACCAGGTTGAGGTTGTTGCTGAATGATGTTGCCCTGAGAGTCAATCTGCACAGGATACAGCAGAGTCTGACCGTCGGTGGTCTGGAGAATCTGTGCTGCTTGCTGGGTTGCAGCACCATTAGTCTGCAACACAAGCTGGCCTCCACCTCCCTGCAAGAAATTTGCAACTTAAATTCACATGCCGGTGCTCTTCTCCAAACAAGACCTCTGAGTATTGCTCAGTATAAAACGGCCAAACTTTTCAGGTACCATCAACTGGGGTAACTTCAGCCAAACCTACAACAGAAACAAATGGCAGCAAAACAAAATCATAAACGTTGGCCAAAGTGACTGAGGTGACTTTGGCCACCGGGGTGACTTTGGTCAACGTTTATTATTTTTTTTCTGTCATTTGTTCCTGTTGTACTGATGGCCGAAGTCACCCCAGTTGATAGCATAAAAAAACTAGCAAAAAAATTTATCAAGTATACAATATCAGAAAAAAATGTTGCTAAATAGAGGCAGAGATATTTCTTTGAAAAAAATAATCAATTTACTATGCAATTATTCCGCCAAAGACCAGGGATGGGCCTGCAGTTTTTTGCAGTGCACTCACCACATAATTTGAGCTTTGATATTCAAGAAGTTGCAAGATATAAAGAAGTTACATCGAAGATATGGCTGCTAACACTAACTAAATTGTTTAACAGTAGTCAGAGATTGCTGTAAAACTGGCAATTTACACAAATGCAGTATCAAGTTTAAAAAAAATTGAACTTGACTAATTCAATTGTTAAACAAGACAAAATATACCCATAAATTGAAAGCTTGATTCACACAATTTTATATTCTTCCTCTCGATGTGCCAACACAAACCTGAAGGCCAGATATAGGAACAACTTGTATTTGCTGCAGCTGAGGATGCTGTGCATTTGTAACTTGTATGGGAGCAGGTGCTGCATTTGTCAAGGTCTGCAGCATCAGCTGACCATTGGCTGTCTGAATGATGTGGGCCATCTGTAAAAAAAAAGTACAAATGAGCCTAATTGCACAGCTAATCACATAGTAATAACATGATGAATTCAAGTAGAAAAAGTTATCTTCTTTTTCACTAAGAGAATCAAAGGCATTTGGTACCTACCAAACGGCCTTCAAGGCTAGGTATATTTTACTGTTGAGTAACACAAAAAATAAAAATTAGGTTTTCAAGGAAAACTAATAAAATTAAAAGTTGGTAAAATCATTCATTTTGAACAGGAAACCATTTGAAGAAGGTGAAAAAAACCCTGTTTGGAATGTAGAAAAAGCAGTGAGGAGAATTCACTACTGAAGTAATTATAAATAATTATGGATAAAATTTACTCAGCCAAATTTAATAGTAATCAACATCTTTTTATATGCAAGATCTAAAGGTTAAGATGGAAATATGGGCAACCAAAGCTTGCTTTAAAATTTGTCAGACATTCTTTTCCACACAGATATGCTGATTTCAGTTTGGAAAAAAACAACCACACAATGGAATTTTCACACAGAGTGCACTTATTATTAAATCTTGACATAATATGAGAACAAAAAAAAAAAAAAACTAATAAAAATAATGATTTCAAAATTTTCCATGTCATGAAATACTCTAATCAAATTGTCATGTTAGTTTTTTCCAAAAGCATGTTCAATAACAAAAAAGACCTGCTTCTTTCTGAAATGTATAAAGGTATATGAAAATTTTGAGAATTATTTCACTGTTGTTTCTAGAGGGTCACTAAGAATGACTGCCAGCTGAAGAGTGCAAAATTTAATTAAAATTTTTGCCTCACCTGCCCTCCAGCCTGCTGCACGGCCTGCATCTTCCAATACAGGCCTCACAAACTGAAAATGAAGAGAGATAAAGATTTTATAAAATGAAAAAAAAAAAACATTTTTATTCCATTATACCATAATATACAAAATAAAAGTGCATTATAAATGGACCATATCAATTAATAAAATGTGAAATAATATGAAATAAGAATCAACCCTAGTCCCTGCTGAACATTTTCATATTTCTAAGATCAGTTTGCAGATAAAACAATGAATTAATTCTGGAGTCTATTCTCATACATTTTTGTATGGTCAATTGCTGCAACGTCATTTTCATGGACCATAAAACTAATTTATATTTTATTCATAATCTGACATTGAATGACATGCTTAAATCCTTTGGTAGGCCCTCAACTAAGATTGGAGCAAAATAAAAGTAGTTGCATTGACACAGGTTGCCTTACTCTTTTTTTCATTTTATTTCATTTTTGCTACCACAATGTGATGGAGAAAAAACCTAACAGTTAATGGATGTACACGGCACTAAATAGGCAATTGTAGTTTCTTTAAAGGCACTATCTCTATTGATAACTTCAAAAATCATTAATAAATCACATGTCAAGAAATCATATTTTTAAGTCATAAACCAACCACGCACAATCAATTGATATGGGACATTTGAAAAAAATGCTGTGCACAATGATACACTTTTCTTGTAGGGTAGTCAGAAGACATAAATACATAGGTATATAGTTAATAATTTAAATTGGTGAGGAAGCTAGATTTTCTGCTGGTGCATGGTATTGAGCAACATAGGAGTAAGCTAGATTCTTATTATGTTCTATCACATGATTATCCCAGTGTTATATGCAACACAAAAGCCATTTATGCAAACCATAACACAGAAATTATTAATTATTTGAAGTGATGGTTAGATGAAAGAGTAAGGATATATTTATGTATTCTATATCTATGTTTTAAAGGATAGTGGGTGTGATATATGTTGATTTCTATTATCAGTGAGTGGAACTTTTCTTCAGATGACAGTAGATTAAAAGGCAAGTTTCAGGAAGTAATTCTTATTTATTAACCACATTTTGAATGCAACAAACATGCATTTTCAAGTTAAAGAAGCATTAAACATTGAAATTTTGGTGGAAATAAGTACATAATATGTAATAAGTAATAACTAGGATACAACAGTAAAATTTTGGACCAAAAATTACTCGGAAAATTAGTTCAGACAAATCCAGTAGTCAGAAAATAGATAGCTGGGATCCGATCTGTAGAGATGAGGGGTTCAGCTATCGCCAGTCGGTTGTTGTCAGGCCACTGCTTGATCAAGATGCTGGTGAGTACCTTCAGAACAATGTGAGTGACAGTCTGGTTGTAAACTTGTCTCACGTGGTTTACCTGTCCTCCAGTTTGAAGGTAGCTAACAAGACAGCGGCTCGGTGTCTTGATTGTTAGTTCAATTTGTCCGATGTTGTCTAAAACATGTAGAAGTCTACAATCTTCTTTGAAGCAAAATTTATAGACTACAGCGGCCTCTCGGATAACTCCCGCGTTTTTGCAAGGGTCTTTGTTGCGTTTAGTTTGGAATTTGACATTATTGTCAAGAATGTCACAAAGCCTATTGAATTCATTGACAATTTTGAGATGAAATTGCTTGTTAATAATGCTTGGAGATCTGGTATGGTAGTGAGCTTGTCTCTGGTGGTAGGAGAAAAGGCAGTTCAATGTTGCAGTTGTCACTCCAATAACTCCAATGTAATCCATAACGTGAAGAAGTCTACAACTTTCTTTGAAGTAAAATTTATAGAATACACCAGCCTGTTGGAGAACTCTCGCTTTTTTGCAGGAGCCGTTGTTTGGTATAGTCTGGGGTTTTACTTCGTTGCCAAGGGTGTCACGGAGCCAGTCGAATTCATCGACAATCTTGAGATGTTGCTGCTTGATTATAATACTTTGAGATCTGGTCTGGTTTAGAGCTTGATCACGAATGCACCTTGATAAAACTTTGAACACGTATTCATTAGAACCTCACATTGATGTTCAGCTTGTAAAACATTGTTTAATTTCACATGTCTTTGGGAGATATATGACAATAAGGGCCAAAATTTGCAGTGATCAAAGAATTTCTTCCAAACTACTGAACAGATTTGAACAAAATTTTAGCAAAATACTGTTAGCAAAATGCTGCTAACAATTTTGATAGTATATCCCTTACCAAGCTAAATCTCCACACACTTGGTTAGGTACACTCATCAGTCATCACAACTAATTTCCAGACAAGCTTCCCTGGCATCCCTGCATCCTGATCCATCCAACGTACTGGAAACCTAACTGTGTGCGCTTGCAGTCTTCCAGATTTATAAATTACAATAATTGCAATAATTTAAAAGGAATTTTTAAAATGCAATAATTTCAATCCAAATGTGTGGGCAAGATGGTCTAAAGGCATAAAGGGTAAATGCGGTATATTCCAACACATTAAGGACGCATCGAGAAATGAAAAACTATAAAAAAATAACCGTATGCATTACTCGAGTTCTGTTTGCTTTACGTGACTCTCAAAACACTGCACTACGCGCCAGCAACAATGAAACGTCACAAAATGTTGCCATATTTATTTAAAAGCCTTAAGAATGCAAACCTACCAAATCCCTATATTCCAACACTGTGTGTGACTATATTTGGCACATGGTGAGACGTATTCTGACCTTGCTTCAAATCGTACTAATACGTAATTCCGACATCCACATGTTCGAATTCCGATTGCTGTGTGAGCTGTATTGGAATACAACACGGCTTTGAATTAGAACACTATTGAATATTGAGCACTACTTAATTTGGCTTTTAATTAACAGTTATTAAGCTTTTAATTAAGAAAATTTTAATTTTTGCACACAGCTTGGAACGAGCTGTGTGAGTCCAATTCAAGTTGTGTCGGAATTAGTTTTTATGTGTCTAAATGCATTTCTCAACTTAATCATCTATTAATTTATTTACCACTTGAAATCAGCAAATACAAGTATACTTAAAGGATTCCTAATATATTCACAGACGTATTTAAAAGTCTCAAACCATAATATTCTTTCTACACAAACAGTTTATCACTATTTGGTAGAGCAAGGTCAACTGTCAATTTTGACACATTTTTCGATGATCTCATTGGGTGGCATGCAGCCATGCACCATCTCTCTTTGGATCTCAACATTTTTCCGCAGATCCCGCTAGATGCCCCAGAAGCCAGACCTAGTGTTTTGGCAGTAGTTTGACGTGCAAATGTATGACGTCACTATTTCAACCATCAACGAACGCATGGAACTAAAACAAAGCTTAATATAAAGGAAAAACTAGAGAGGTGTCAGAATTACCCACGGTGTCGGAATATACCGCGTTTACCCTATTTTGCTGCTGATGCATCATCAAAGATCATTTAATAATAAAATTGATATTAACCCACTTTCTGCACCCTGGACAAGGTCTTTGGCATTGTTGATAGATGGACTTACTACCTACTACTATTAAGATGATTTATATTAGTGTAGAGAAAAATTGATTTAGGTATAAGGCCCATAAGCTTAAATGTTGATCTTTAAATATAGAATAACGTTATTTAAATAAACCCAACATCTTAAACTTGAGAATATTGCCTTATTCAAAGAATGCGAATGTATATTTTAATATGATGCAACGCCATGTTCATGATGATCTTCCTCTTCTGCCTCTTAGAAAATTGAAAATAGGTTAAAAAGCTGCATGCTTATGAAACGAATAAAAAAATCTCACCAGTAATTCCATGCAGAGAAGTCTTACATCTTGGTCTAGCTATGATATAAAAAAATAAAATAAGCAAAGTCTCGTTACAAAACACTTCCATAACTAATGATGGCATAGCCTACTAGTTGGATCACTTGGATGTATTACGAACTGGATATTTTGCACCTGATAGTCTGGTACCAACTACCGCGCTCCCAGACCGTTCATCGAAAGCAAGATGGCTACCAAGATAGTGATTCAATTTGCCAAAATGACGTCAAAACACGATCTTCGATCATCATAACACTAAATGACATTATAGAAAGAGAATCAAAAGTAAGCCTCAGCATGTGTAGATAGTAATTTGTAGCTTACATCGAGTATTAGTAGAGAAGTTCCGTTGATTGGCAGTAGGGCGACACCAATGAGAAGGCGACGGCGTCTTTTCGTTAGCTCGCATTGGCTCGAACTTCACCATACACGCAGCAACTCCCGCTGATCTTCGTTCACTCGGACATCCGTAAAACGCAGTTAAATAGCAATCAAACACTGGCTAGAAATAAGCACAAAAACATGTACTGCTATCTTTCGGGGAAATTTGACACTTGAAAAGTATTATTATCCGATCTATTACATATAAGCAAATATAGTTTTTTCTCAATATTATTCTAAGTTATATTGTTTTTGATCAGCATATTTCAGCAAGGGGTTGCAGTTTATGGTTGTGTGATCCGTGATAAAAATCTTTAGCATGAATTTGTATACATTTTAGTGCATCATGTAGTTAGATTTGAAACGATAAAGCTATAGAAGACAACTATTCTTCCGAATTATCAACCTACAAAGAGAAATTATGAATCTAATCATACCATAATTTGCATGTATCGCTATATAATTTAATCTAAACTTATATGAATAAATGTAACTATTCATATTGATTATATTGATACAAGCTTTAAGTTCAGGCAAAACATATGTTTCGAAAATATACAGATATGTTTCAAATGAAATTTATTAATTTTATTTTGGCCGCTAGAGGGCAGAAAGCCAAATCCGTTGAGAAACAGCCAATGCAGAACCTCAAGAATACACGCTGCGTCGAATTAGTGGGCTCTGCTTGTTGGTCACAATACTGGATCATGGAACTTCGCTTTCGAATTATTCGGCACTAATTTGTTCTTTTTTACTAACCAAAATATTCATTTATAAATTAGCTCAACATATTAATTAGTAAAAAATATCCAACTTCTCACCCTAAATTTCTCAAATTAGCATTATCAAATGACTGAGTATTATCTTCCCACTAAAAAGATGGAAAAAATTCGGCAAAGTCGCAGTTAGTCATTTGCTAATTGTAAACTTTATAACAAATCATGATATTGAAACAATTAAAATCACCGTAACTAGGCCTCGCAAAATAACAGCATTGACCTTTTTTGGAGCATAGATAGACCTTACAGACCCTATTTTGCAAGCGAATCTTTTTGAAAAATTGTTTGAAGTATTTTGAAATTCGCTAACTAGCTATGGCAAATGAGGACCAAAGCGGACTAGGCCAAGGCATGTATGCCAAATTTGATAAGAATCAGCGGAAACCGAAATGAAAAATTTCAATACTTTACTGGTCAAAGTTATCACTAAAATGATTAGTGTTTCGGATAGCACATCGAATCACCAAATAACTACTCTTGATAGCACAGGAGTTATTTTAATTGTGGAAGAAGAGTTTGAATTAGGCTTCCCTTGAAACGTCATCATCAGTTAATAATATGACACAATATGCCTTTAAATTCCTTCTATATTATTAAGTGATAACAGTGCGTGCAGTAGTCCATATAGAAAGTTTGAAGTGATTCGTTCTACGGTTTGGACGCGCCAAAATTGCTAGCCAATCGTAGGAGTTATTTGGAGACTTGGCAACATTGCATGAACGTTTATAGATTTTCACCTTGCGTCCATTGGTTAATCGTTATTAAATCATAACGAAATCGGATTGGCTGCACAAGTAAACGTTTGGCATCCTTTCGCAAAGGATTCATGCACACTTTTTTCACAGACATCTCTGCAACTCGCGTGCAAACACGAATTTTTTAGAAGATTCATGCTCATTTCGGATGCTCGGGTTGAACAAAGGATCTTTGAAACAAAGAGACTCAAATAAGGGCGCAATCATGCAATCCGCGGTATGGATTTAACTAAAAACGACGAATTTAGCAAAGAAAATACAGGTACACGCTCAATAAACAGTTCAATGATGCAAAAGAATGTATTAGTTGTATTTCACTACACTGTTTGAAAATTCAGACTGTACAAGCTGCGTACCGCTCTTTGTTTGTGGTCTCAAGTTGATTATTCCTTTTTCAATGTCCAGTACTAAATGTGACGAACCATCGAGTGAAGACATTGCAATAAAGTTATCTATCTATGGTTATCTCTCATTTTCATGACCTTTAGGATGATATATTTATTGACCTTGTGTTGATTTTGCTAGAAATATACACGTCAGGCTCGCGTGCTGAAGATCGTCTCATTACTCTCATATCAGTATAACACGTTGTTGACACGGATGATTATACAGCTAAGTTTTATAAAAAAAATCAACATTAAATTACTTGTTAAAATTGCACTGTTTGTTACACTGCTTGTTACTAATTAATTATATTAATTGTTACTAATAATGCCATTATCCGAGACTTAATTTGTGCCAGAGCAAGTTATCTTGCTACCACTGTGAAAAAAGCACAAATTGAACCTTTCTGGGGTGGAAAGTAAGGAATAACATTGCGTCGTAGTAAATCCTTTATAATTCCACGTTATAAGGATCTAAGTAACGAGATAAGAGCAATAGAAACGCAGACCATGTCACACAAAGTTGTCCTCACGAGACGTCGGCCGCCCGAGAAGAGAAGGGACGGACAAAAAGGAAGGAGGCAGCGAACGAAGAGACCTAGAAAGGAAGGGGGCGAAAGAAGAGACAGAGAAAGGAAGATATCGGACTCCGTCCTACGTTAACAACCTAACACGTATCCACAATCAGAACAAAACTGCACAGATGGAGAATGCAAATGGCGTCGGTGTCGTATACACATCAGAATTATTCAAGGCAGAATCACATGACACCTACAAACATGAACAATACTGTCGCATGCTACTATTAAACAACTATTCGGGAAACTGAGTGGGAAAATGAGGAAAATATTCATTTACAAGGAGGCTTTAATTTTTATTATTTTTCACTGAAAAGGCTAATTGATGAATGGTCGTGGGTAATCTGACGTTTCAATTGGTACAGGTGCTTAAATTATTGGAATCGTCGAGTTTTTTTACCGAATGCAATCCTTGTAGCATCGGAAGTCATATTAAGCAAAGGAGACCTTCAGCCGATCTTCGACAGTCATCCTACACTGGTACTAAAAAGCAACAGGCATTCATGTATCATGTAGGACATCGCTGTTTCAGGAGGAATTAGTAAACCTCGACGCCCTCCGTTCCCAGGGTGTAGCGCTGCTTGCAGATGTAGCGTTTCGGCGTGGAGCAGAGGTCTTCCCACAGCCTGAAGACAGAGTTCAATTAGTACTGCTGCTTCAGATGAGAACAAAAATAACGGGCTTAGGACAGTTGATATTGACCGATACGCTTAAAAAGGACTGGAGTAACATGCAAACTTTGTCTTCCTTATTTTACTAAATGGAAGGGAGTATACCCGACTTGAGTCTCAATATAGGAGGTGATACGTGTTTACGTCATGTATTTTGTTGCAGGCAGAGATTTACTGGCGAATGTTGGAGCACTGGTAAATGATACTAAATGAGCTACATGGCTGGGCAAACAATAGAACTACTTATAGCATTCTAAAGCAGGAGTAGTTATGCAGCTTCATTATCAATGTTGTTAAGTAAATATGGCCTTACCTGTGGGTGTGGGAGCAGACGTAAACACACATGTCGCTGCCAGATCTGAAGCGTCTACCACGCCACTGGCTGGGCACCTCCACCTCACTGCCACCCCACACGTAGCGCCCGCTTTCACCACGACCAGCAGTCCAGTAGGTACCCGCAACTGCAACGTTCCCAATTGCTAGGTATTGATTTGTAGTACAAAAACTATCGAAAACGGGAATTTGATTCTTCTACAACACAGATTTTTAAATAATTCAGACAGTACATGGAAAAAATTATGTTATAAAATGCAGTAGAAGCAGATAATTACAGAATTCAAAGGTGGTCTAAATATATTGACCACATGAAGTAAGTAGATACAATGTACAATGAAGTAAGTAGATACAATAATATAATGCAAACGTAATATTATTACTATGATAGCTGTGTCATGGTAGGTAAATGACTCATCACAAACTGCACCCAAAAATACGTCCATTTTCTCCACAACGAAATATATTCGAAGCAACTACGAACATTGGCGATCTTTCTATTAAATGAGTAAATATATCAATAAATCTTTATTTTAATTATAAAAACAACATTTTTTGCTGTATAAAAGCCACAACCGTAGTAATTATCTGTCTAAGATGAACTACTGCGAACTACGTATTTTCAATAAGAAAAAGAAATTTGGTAGACGAAACTTCAAGGCTATAATAAAAAGGGTTAATGACAATTTCCAACTCTTAAGCTCACTGCTTACGATTAGTTAGCATTGATATATGAATCGTTACGATCGAAATCTGAACGTTTATTTTTTGGTAATATATAGGTCTTCAAAAACTCAAATATTAAATATCAAGACTTGATTAATACGATTCAGAAAGACATACAATAAATTAATTGAATATGCCATATAGTACAATAATGATCTAATAAACATACCTCGGTTTGATCACTAGGCAATATTTGGCCCATAAAAAATTTCAGATTTCACATCATTTTCACAGCTAACTGCCAGTTTCATACCTGCAACTCTCTGCTCCAATCTCTCGGCCATCCCGACCTGAGTGGCCGTGTAAGTATAGATATGGTACAGTAGAGATATAAAGCTGATTTATTTGGACTAATGCGGTTTCAACTCAAGCCAAAAAGTTCAGTGGGTCCACGCACAAGTCACACAGAAGGCGGGCAGCAAAACCAAGTGAGCCCTAATAAATGGGTCCTAATACCGAGGGCGGCAGGAAATAAAATAGAAGGCCTAATAATAAAGTGATCCAGCTTAATTACACCTCTCACTTCTCTGTGATAAAGCAATGATGGCCACCATTTCGATCTCACTGCTGACGAATAAGAACTAAAGTTTAAACTGGTCTTGACTAAACCTTACAGTTGGCGTTGATGTGGGCGATGATGGCTGCCTTGTCAGCCTCGCCGTTGATGTCGGCGAGCGAGGAACCCTCCGCGTTACAAAAGGCCTCCGCTTCAGACGCGGACCGGACAGCCTGGTTGAACCTATAGCAGCTGCTGCCGATAAGCACGTAGTCGGTGCCGCAGGTCACGCCACACGCTGTCAACGCATTTAAACTTGGGATCACGCACTACTCGATTGAAATATTTGCGGTCATAATAACTTATGAATGATGGTAAAAATGGGCAAAATAGTTTAATATAATAATAATAGCGGGTTCAGCGTTTAGTAGGCCGTAGGCCTGTCGCCGATTCTTAACATCGCAAAACATTCACAGCATTTTGCGGTCTCGAACTCGCAACTCACTGCTACAATTCTGCTTTGCTTAACCGCCCGGCCTCCTTGTCGATTCTGATCCGAAACTGGCGCACAGAGCTGGGATCGAACCCGCGCCTCTCAGCGCCAATCTTCTTACTCTGAACTGAAACCGCTGGGCCACCCTGTAACCACCCAACATATAATCTTTATTTTGGCAACGGTGCACAGATTCAGTTTAAAGAAATGTTTTAAATGAATATTGAACACACACAAAATTAGATAAATAAATATATAAGATAAAATGAAGCGCACGAGGGAAAACTAAATAGAACTGGAGTTCAAAATGATAAGTTATGAATTAGCAAATTGGGCCGTGACTCCAACCAATTAAATTCATTTCGGTGGATGACTAAACTTAATTATTCAATAAAGTTAATCAGGCACAATCACTCACCGAGGTGGATAAGTGCGAGGACCACGGCGGCGTGGCGCAGGATTTTCCCAGCGATTTCCATCCTGAATAAATTTAGAAATTAGAGGAAATATAAACCATGAAATCGAATTTTCGATGTATATAGCATCAATCCTGCATTGTGCTTAAGACCTATTATAGTAGGAGTATAGTGCTGCAATGCGCACCCTAATAGCTAATGGACCTATTAAAACTTGAAAGATTATTTAAAATGCATGCAGGTTGTGTAAATGATTCAATGCATGCATGGCCTTACTTATTGAATCAGATTCTCTGTCAATAATATGGGAACAGTTTCAGCTGCATTGGTCAATCGATACTAATAAAGTTAAAACGCAACAAGGAATGCCAAAACGCAACTAAAATTCCCGTTTATTTGATATTTATGGTGAAAATTTTTAGTAATTGATGATTAGCTAAATAATATTTTTAAAAGTATGACAAACGAACAAAAGAAAATGTCCAGTAAATATATTTCAGCTTTTTATGAAGTGCCTGACTTTCACTTGAACATTGAAAACTTACTTCTTTGTGGGATTAGAATGAATACCTCGGGAAGCTTGTTAACTTGTGAATGCATGATAACTTGCCTAAGCACGCGCATATATTCATGAGAGAGAGGAAGGCGAGACAAAGAGAAACAAATTCTCAAGAAAACCGCCCCGCATCATTGATAGTCACTTCGAATATCCTAAAGATAATTTCTTTTACAGAACAATCAGTTTCCGTTACTGATTTGCACGAAGCTTTCTCAGTATCTGACGCAACAATGAACAGGATGCCGTTAGCTCGTCTGAATATTTATCTCCCAAACCTTGTAAGGAATATCTAAGAAGACGAAAATTTTACAGGCTTAAATAAAGCTGTTAGCGCCATATCCGTCAAGGTACAATGCTAATAAATTTTCTTTTGAATTCCTATGGGAATGGAGAAATTAATCGCAGCGAATACATAGATGAATTACATTTTAAATTGGGATTTAACAAATCTACTCTAACGAAATTCTGTGTGTATGCTAATCCACTATTCTCAATACTTGTGTTAATTTTTGACAACTCAGTTTAATGAGATTGAGCCATCTCAGTTAGCTAGCAATTTGGAAATTTATACATAACCATGAGCATAAATAAATACTCATTATTTCGATTAAAAAATTAATTTATACCGGAAGAATAATGCACTTCCGGTATGTCTTCATATTAGCACCCCTCTTATCTATGTCGCAGCTCATAGAATTAAAAATAATTTTAACCAATTCATTATTAAAAAAAATCAAGATAATTAAGACTTCAAGCCTTAAGAATTGTACACTCACCAAAAGTAACATCAGCATTCTAACAATCTTGGCAGATCAAGTTAGTACCAACATTTACATAACATTTCAGGTAGGATGTACGGATACCGCACTAAAAAACGAATTCCAATACAATTGATATTGGAAATTTGTGCTTTGAGTGTATCTAGCTCCCAGTATCCGGTAGCATATTTATCACGTAGCTCTATTATACAATTCGAGTATAACGAACACTTATATGTCACCAATTAACGGTATCCACCGAGACTTGGTCCTCAATTTAATAACAGTTGTTGTGTCTGGTGGATGGAAGCGCCAGACTTATTTGCATATTACCCGGTATCGTCAAAAAATTTAAGCTCAGCAAGATGTCGTCCAATGCATAGAAGGAAAAAAAGTTGTCTCATTACGAGGCAATGTAGCTAAATTGAAAAAAATTGCAAGAATTCTTCGAAAGTTATCACCAGTGTAGATTGATACTGTCGGCTAAAAATTATCAATTAGATTGATAGCGTGCATCTTTGTGTGCATCAGCTTTGAAGTAAATGTCCTCGAAGTGTGAGGATATGAAATGGCCTTTGCCTCTGGTATAAGGTAAATTAGAAAAGCCCATTTAAATGCATTTCAACGGTAACATGTGAATTGAAGATGGTTTCCCTACATAGAAACAATCAAGAAGACATAACAGCAGTTTTCTTCCCAAGAAACAAAAACGCACAGAAATATTCTAAGAAACATTGAAGATAACATGCTATGACCATGAATAACAATTTCATAAAAGATACAACTTATTAAATACGACAACATCATTTGCTCAGTGGTACATCATAATATTATAAAGACCTAAGTTTATTAACATACATAGCCTGCACATTGAATTGCACAAAGTAGGGTTAAATACCGTAGGGTTACATTTGTAAACCTCTTCAATCTTTCACTGCTTGTAATTCTCACTGCAACTCAATGGTTTGCTGAAAATAAGACAATCAAATTAAACACTTTAGGGAAAATACGTTTCCCTACCATAAATTTGACAAATTTAAATAATTGTTTCAGTTAATAAATATAATAGATTTCTTATTTACTCATCAAACAGCAGCGTCCATTTTATTTAGATCATAAAATGTACATGCATTTACTTGAAAGCTCTCGTTTGATAGAATCTTCATTATTTCATAGTAATTTTTCCTAATCAATAACAGCAATATATTAGCTTTAAAGTTATGATATCTTTGTAATCCTTTGATCTCAAGCATATGGTGCGTTTCAAAGTAAACAATTTATTGAAATCAGAAATTAAGCAAAGACTATGTGTGGCAGGACTCGGCAGGAGGATACCAGCATCACTAGCCAGGGGGCCACCCCATCTGACGACCTCCCAGCACGTGGACGTGGATGTGGTACACACTCTGGGCTCCATTTGGACCGTTGTTAATCACTGCACAACAACACGCACAGTAACATCCATGCCTGCCTCAAGGGGTACTAGTAAATGGTATGAAATGATAATGCGAATTATCAGAAGTTGTAGAAATTATATTAGGATCAAGGTAGTTTGTCTTTAATGTCAATTTTGAACTTTTTAATATTTAACTGATATCTGAACTGAACTAAATATATGAACTCAGCGGCCTCAAGCAGAAGAGTTCATTTCCATATCATTTATTGCATCCAGACCTGAAATTATTTTCAATGGATATTAGTTTTGGAGTAATATAATGAATAGGGAGAAGCATAAATGCAAGTGTTGAAGAAAATAACTCTGACGAAGCATGGGTTTTATTTTTAATGGTGTGCAACTGACAGAACACAACAAACAGAAAGCTGTGAACTCACCTACTCTGTATCCATCCTGTAGTTTCTCCTGGTCTGCCACTTTCTTGGCTACTAGCAGCAAGTGGCCCAGCAACTAGAAGTGATGAAATTATTAAATTAGAGAGAATTAAAAAATCATGGCAACTTAAAACTTTCTATTTATGCATTTGTTTACTGCTGAAATTATACACCAAAATAAGTTTAAAATATTATTAAACACTATGTAACTTACATGTGATACGTATGTCATATATTCAAAATTAAAACAAAAGTTTATAATATATGGATGAGCAAACATACAAAACAAAGAGTATAAAAACTGTGGGATGAAAGACAAATTTGTATACCTCTTTATCTGAAGCTTCTGCTTTTTCTAACATAAGAATTCTTCTCTTGGGAATAACAAGAAAATGAACAGGAGCCTGAGGGTTGATGTCCCTGAAAGCCAGACTTAGGTCATCCTCATAGATGATGTTGGCAGGAATGGAGCGACTGATAATGGCATCAAATATAGTAGGTTCTGCCATGCTGTACCGGCCATGCTGGGCCTTGTTAACTTCATCGCTGCAGAAACGATAACCCAAGTTGGCAACCTGCATAAAAAATGACAATTAAAAAAATTTGATGAAATGATTAATGCAATAATGTCATATAGAAAACTATAATCAAGAAGCAGGACTAATGTGCCTTTGAATTGGGAGATAATTATAATTTTTTTATAACAAGTATGAATTAAACAATACTTTTAATTTTTTAAGCATTGGACTGGAGGCATTAGATGTAAACTCATTACTCACAGTATTAGGAAAACAAGTTTTTGAACATGTTGGTAATGTTCTGAAGATATTTTTATACACCAAAGGCAGGCACTTTGAAAAATTGTTTAAATGAGCCATTTTATTGACAAGTAAGGCAAACTATTGGTAATGTAAGGTGCAAGGAAAGAAAGCTTTGTGTAGGGAATTCAAGTAACAGATAAATGTAACAAATAAATTCAGAAACCTTATGATTTAGCTTTATTACATAAAGCTAAAAATAATACCATGCAATATAAATAAAGTATCATAGAATATGTAATTCAAAGCAAAATACTGACAATTCATAACTTTAACTTTTATTCAAATATTTCTCTATTGAAAAAATTAAAAACTGATAATAAATTTTGGAAGGTTGCTGCAAAGCTGATATTTCATTATTTAGAGTTGGACCATAAAAATGATAGAATATCTAACGTGGCTGAAAGCAAAAAGAATTTTTTGTAAGCAGAAGATAGTCACTTGAGATTTGAGAATTCTTTATAAAACCAACCAGCATCTAATATTTTTTTTTCTATATACCTAAACAATGGTCAACTGACTCAAATCAATGTAAACAAATCTGGGCCACAACTCTCTATGGATTCTACCTAGCCCAGGCCTAGGGTGGGGTAAAGCAATCAAAAGAGCTTCTCAGTTATCATGTGGTATATATCAAAGCCTACAAATCATAATTGTGATCAATATACTATGGATTTTATTGAACAGCAGTAGGTTATATGCATAATCAGTGATAATGCAGCACAGTGCAGTAGCTGCTTCTGCTAGTGCTAATTGTGCTAAATGGCAACCTTACCTAGCTATGTGTCATGTGAGTGTGACAGTAGTTGATTATATTTTAGAGTATGACTAATAATAATGACTTGTGGTGGGTGGTAGAACTAGCTCCCTCAGCCTCAGGGCTCAGGCTATGAGGCTCAGCCTGATATCATACTACTAAGTACTAAGTGAAGTATGTATGTAGTCCATTTTGAGGTTGCATAAATGTCCCTAGACAGGGCACTTGTTGCACCTGGATTTAGCAAATGATTTTCAATGGGTTACTTAATCTGAAGTATATTGTTCCAGGGCAGTCTTGATCAGCTTTCAGAGATTATTCAGGCGTCCAGTACTCTTGATGTATTCAACTGTAGCTTTTACAATGGCAAACTGGGTGTTCCATGTGAAGTCTCCTCCACCCAGCAGGTCTCGCACTGTGAGGGGGCTAACCCCGTAGGGGTCCACAGCATTTTCAAGTATACTTCGGGCTTCCAGGTGTAGTCCACAATGTAGAAGGAAGTGTTCAATGGTGTCCTCCACGTTGCAGTAGTCACACATTGGAGAGGGTGACATACCAAATTGGGACAAATAGGCACCCAGGCCTGCATGGCCCAGGCAGAGACGGGCCAGGCTGACAGCAGCCCTACGAGTCGGAGCAACCACCCATGGGACAGGGGACAGTTTGCTGCGTATTGTAGTCAAGTGGACGCCCTTCCCTGTTACCCTTACATCGGTCACCCAGGAGTCCAACCAGCGCTCATGCAGTCCCCTTTGCAGGCAGCTCAGACGGTCTGATTGCTCAACATGCAAGAGTACACTGAAGTCAAGTGAGTGGCCCAGCTGCGCAACCTTGTCAGCCACCTCATTGCCATGAATACCAGCAAGGCCTTTTACCCACTGCAGGGGAACAGTCAACCCAGGTGCTGAGTGCAGGGCCAGCAAGTGCTCTCGGATCTTATATACGATGAGTGTGCAAGAGGGGCTTGGGGTTTCAATGAGTTGCAGTGCTGACCTAGAGTCAGAGCACACCACCCACCATGCAGGGCCTTCTCAGAGATGATGACAAGTGCCTGCAAGATAGCATATAGCTCAGCAAAAAGTACGCTATGCATTGGATGGAGGCGCCAGGCAACAGCCCGAGATTCATCTGGTATAAATACTCCACAGGCTGTAGATGAGCCATCTCCTAGCCGGGAGCCATCGCAAAATACTTTTCGGTGGTGAGGATAGTTTTCCTTCATGTGTACCCTGAAGGAGTACGCAAGATCAACACCTCCAGGCAGCTGTGGGTTCTTACAGCATTCTGGTTGTATAGGAGACCAGGGGGGGATTGGGTCAACCTGTGCCAGATAGAGGCGTCTGCATTTCGGTTGCTCAAATATCTGCAATAGTCGTGCTCCGTCCGCTAGGGCAGTTGTGCTGTCCTCAGGCACTTGGCTTAGTCTTTCTGCTGTGTAGTCATTTCTAGGTCTATGTAAGATTTTAATATGCCATTGTGCTCCAAGGAATTGGCGCCGCAATGGGAGGGGAGGAACATGGGCTTCCACTTGCAGTGAGTTGATTGGACTGGTCCTTCTAGCTCCAANGGACCAAAATCACCCGATCGTCAGAGGTTGCCCCCTCTACACCAAGTGGCTCAATTACTGGAGGAGGTTGGTGAGGACCATGCATGGCCGGCACTGGAAGGTGGATGTCATCTTCAGAGCAGTCAAAGTTCCGCTGTAGTGCACTTTTCTTACCTCTTCCAGAATTTGGGTCCTCCAGGAAAGACCCCCTTCTTTTCCGTATTGTTGCTCCACTTGCACATTCCATGCGTTCTGGCATGTCATTTTCTATGATAGCGCTGGCAGGTTCAACTTCTAGGAAATGCTGCAGTTGGGATGCCGTAAGATGGTCTTTTTCTTCTAGTTCTTGTTTAATGGGGGCTTCGAAGACACGTCCATGTAGCCCCAAGACAGAGAGCTCCAGCATGCACAGCACACCTTTCAAAGAGAACAAGGTGCAGCAGAGCCGCAGAACACAGCAGAGCCTTGAACATGGCAGAGTACGGTTATTGCTGGAATGATTCCAAGCAAGGTTAGTTTTGTAGAAAAGAGTCTCGTATGGGCAAGACTCTGATGGAGAAAGAGAGTAGCATTAGTCAAATAGAAGGCAAACAAAGGTACTCCTTACAAGGGGCAGTCATTACAAACCACTATGCAGAGGGTGGATGCAGCGTCGCCAATATATGGATTTTTAAGCCCAAAGCGTCGCC